TGGTGTTTTATTCTAGGGACCTTGTGTGGCTGCACTGAGTATCCCACTCTATTGGGACACTACTAGCTATGGTCTTTTTTTTTTTTTTTAAGATTTATTTATTTTTATTGCAAAGTCAGATACACAGAGAGGAGGAGACACAGAGAAATACCTTCCGTTGGATGATTCACTCCCCAAGTGACCACAATGGCTGGTGTCCCACACCTGTGCAGGGTCCCAAGACTGGGCTGTCCTCGACTGCTTTCCCAGGCCACAAGCAGGGAGCTGGATGGGAAGTGGGGCTACCGGGATTAGAACCGGCACCCATCTGAGATACTGATGCATGCAAGGTGAGGACTTTTGCCGTTAGGCCATGCCGCCGGGCCCTATGGCCTGTTTTTAAACCCGTGGAGCAGGTAAAAAGTAGGAACTCAAGAATGCACATGGTGTCCTCCTTTGGAGCAAGCGCCTGCTAGCCTGCCTCATTCACCCCTCTCCACCGACTCGAGCCAAGTGTCCTGGCAGCTCCATGTGAAAGTTTAGGGACGCTCGGGAGAGGTTTGATGGCACCCTTTACTGGGTGCCTACCATGGGCTTGGCATCATTACATGCATTGTTTCCCACTGAATCATGAAATTGTCTTTTTAATTTAAAAAGCCTGTTGTTTTATTTTTTAGGAGAAAAAAAAGGTCTATGATGTACATGATCAGAACCAAAAGCACACAAGAGGGTGGGCTTGGGCATAAGGCAAACTGCACTGGGCTGTCAGCCAAGAGAAGGCAAAAGGATGAGAAACCACAGTCCCTCCCTGCCTCGAGCCTTTGGCCCCGTGCCTGGCACCAGCCGGCGTTCAATGCGCAGCTGTGGAATAGCGGCCCCGGGTGTATCTTCCTCACAGCTGCAGAAAGGAGGCATTGTTTTGTGCATTTTACAGAGATGAGGACGCAGAAGTCCAGAGGGGTCCACTGGATTGGTTACACAGCTGGAAGTTGACAACCAGTGCTGTGACTTTAGACCTGAAGATGTCTAAAACCTGCCCCAGGCTGCACGAAACGCTGAGGGGGCATTAGGCATCTTCTTACTGTCTTTTGAACACGTTCAGTTGTGTTTAGTTGGCATATTTTATTCACTTATATTTATATATATATATGTATATATATATATCAGGGATAGAAGCAGCCCATCAGAAATCTCCCATCTTCAGTTCCTTCCCTACATGGCCCCCAACAAATGGGGCTGCACCAGTCTGGGCCAGTGATGGGAGCCAAGCCCCTAGTCTGGGTGTTGCAGGTGCGAGGCAAGGGACCCTTAACTGGAAGCCTGAGCCAGGGCTGGACCACGGGCACCGCGCTGGGCAGACGTCCTGGTTGTGCCAAACACTGGCCCCTCATACTTTTGTTTGGATCGGATTTCAGAGCTATAGGAAGCTAGTTAGATATAACTGGGGTGGTAATCTGTGTGAGCCAGTGTGAGGAGGCCCGGCTGCAGGAGGATTCCTGCCTGCCAGTGAGGTGTAGGGCAGGGTGTGTCCCTTCTGAGAAAAACAGCAAAGTGACCCCACCCAGGAACTGAAACCAACCCCAGAGCAGCTCCTGAGGGCTGCTGAAGGCTCGAAGAAAGAGCCTAGGGTCTTGATTTGGCACGGAGGACCTCTCTGCCTCAGAGAAGCCAGTGGATTAAGGGCCCAGAGAACAATGTGGGCTTTTTAAGAGATGGCTCGGGGCCGAGCAAGCCGGCATTCTCAGGCGTGGCATCGCACCCTCGGGCTGCCAAGAGCAATAAGCACTGCATTATTCACAGACTGCTCGTCCCAAGCCATTTCCTCTCCGTGCCATCACAATGAAAGATTAATGTTTACGCTCAGTGTGCCATGCCTGCCATGCTCCCCTCCCCCGCCCCTTCAAGCCCTCTGCTTGCTTTGCTTTTTGACTTGCTCTCTGCATACTAACCAAACAGCTTTCTGTGCCCCACAGCCTGAGCTTGTGACTTCTCCCCTCTTACCAGCACCCTCCACTCTTTTTTCCCACTTAACAGCATTGTTATTTTAATTTATTTGAAAGATCTTTCCTCTGTTGGTTCACTTTCCAAATGTTGGGTCTGGCTGAAGCCAGCGATCCTGGAACTCCTTCTGAGTCTCCCATTTGGGTGGGAGGGGCATCCAGACACTTCAGCTGTCACCTGCTGTCTCCCAGGTACATATCAGCAGGGAGCAGGATAGGAGCCAGGGCTTGAACCTAGCCACTGTGATCGGTGACGTAGGCATCCTAGGCAGTGTCTTAACCCCCGAGCCAAACACCCATTCCAGTTATGATTTCCTCTTTTGGCATTCCTTTCCTGTGCCCAGCCTATGCTGGACAGTAAGCACCATGAGGGTGGCAATGAAGGTGGTATCTACTCTGTCGCATCTGATATCCCATGCCTCAGCAGGTGTCTGGTATCCAGCTGAGGCTCAGAAGATGCCTGCGGAGTGAACAGGCCTAGTGTTTGATCACTGCTGTTGCTGACTTACAAATACAACATCATGGCACTGTTATTGTGGCACAGTGAGTTAAGATGCTGGCTGCAATGCCTGCATCCCATCAGGTAGTTCGAGTCCTGGTTGCATGGTTCCCATTCAGCTCCCTGCTAGTAATGTACCCCAGAAGGTATGGTCCAAATGCCTAGGGAAACCTGAAGGAATTTGTGACTCGTGGCTTCGGTCCGACCCCACCTTTGGGCATTGAACCTAGAGAATCTCTCTCTAATTCTCTGCCTCTACCTTTCCAAGTCAGTCAAGGTAAACAGAATAAAAAAAAAATGTACATGGCAGCAAAGCCACACTCTGAGCGGAGAATGCTGGGAAGCAGGAGTAATCACCTTCCTTGGAAATAGGCCCTGAAGCCTTGGAAAAGTTATTTTAGTTCACGACTTTCAACACCAACCAGTCACACCAAGAAGTAGATTGCTTGGGACTTGACCCAGGAAATAGAGTGCTCCCGAGGGCCTCTGAAGTGAGGGAATGGGCATGTGCTGCGCGGATAATCTCTGCTGTCTCTAGTCCACTGGCCCGTCAGACCTGGCCAGGATAGGGCTGGATGAAGCAGTTATTGCTATGAGTTCTACCCATCGCCGGAGACCAGAATGGAGCAGGAGCCATCTTAGACTCCAGTGGGTTGGATGCAAGCTTGGTAGTAGCTGTTCCTGGCCCTCACTCACAGGAAGCCGAGAGGGGCTCTGCCACCCTGGAGGGCAGCCAGGTAGAAGAATGAAGGGATGAGAGAACGTGCCAGAAAGACTTTTATTTTGGGGGGCAGATTACAGTCAGTTTTCACTTGTTTTTCTTCCTTGTTCCTTATCCCATTTGAGATACAGGTTAGATTTGGATCTGAATAGACAGCTTTGTTTCAATTTTCAGATTTTTTCTTCCTAATTTTTATTGGAAAGTCAGACACACAGAGAGAACGAGGGGAAGATCTTCCATCTGTTGAGTTACTCTCCAAGTGGCTGCAAGGATCGGAGTTGTGCCAGTCAGGAGCCAGGAGCCCAGAGCCTCTTCCGGGTCTCCCACACGGGTGCAGGGTCCCAGGGCTTTGGGCTATCCTCAACTGCTTTCCCAGGCCACAAGCAGGGAGCTGGATGCTGTGTGGGAAGCGGGATTGCCGGGATTAGAACCAGCACCCATATGAGATCCCGGCGCGTGCAAGGTGAGGACTTCAGCTGCTAGGCTACTGCTCTGGGCCAAGATTTTCAGATGTTTACAAGGGGAATTAGGAGGCTGGAGTAGGGGATGGAGCTGAGAATTGAACCTGGGCATTGTGAAGTGGGGTGCAGGCATCTTTCTTGCTAGGCTCAGCATCCGTGCATGTCTCGGGCGTCCTGAGGTGTCCTGTGCTGAGGCAGCTCTGGGGTTGGTGGGGAAGTGAGAGTTGATGGTCTTTTGGGATTAGTTCTGTTGTTTCCACTTGGCTTTTGGTGGGTTTACTGGCTTGCTAGAGCCTAATTGCATTTGGAAATCTACTTAGGTGACTGGGAGAAGTAAGTGTGGTCCTGGTTCGGTGTCTGCTTTCTTTGACTGGCTCAGAAGCAGGAAACACAGAAGCCTGGTTGTTGGGGACTAGCATAGTGGCATGCCCTGGGAGAGATCTGTAAACAATAAATCAGCAGTGAGTTTGTCACGGTCCTTCCAGGGTGTGTGGGCGGGATCGGGGCATGGGGATTTGCTCATAAGGTAACTTACCATCTGGTGGTTCTGTGTAGTTGGACAGGCCAGTGGCTAGTACCAGGCAGTGATGAGTGCCGGTTGGTAATTATGAACTACCGTCCTCTGTGTTGGAAGAGCACGTAGGTAAGGGAAGGTGTGGGAGACCAACTCTTGGTCCATGTCTTCCACACACAGTGGCCATGTCGCAGGCACTTGCAGGAAATGATGTTTTTGTAGTTTTACAAAATACAGTAATAAGTGGAGGGTTGCCTTTGGCTGCCAGCAAGTCTGTTTTGTTTGTTGTTTTCCCTTAGTCTGTAATTCGATGGAGGGAGAGCCATGATTGATGGGTGAACCTGTCCAACTACCCAGGCCAGTGGAGCGGGAGCAAGGGGTTTATGTGTGTGTAGGTGAAGTGCGCACCCTTGGCAAGGTGGAGCAGGAGTGAGAGGGGTGTGTGTGTGTGTGTGTGTGTGTGTGTGTGTGTGTGTGTGTGAGTGTGTGAGTTGCACCCCCTTGGCAGGGTGGAGCAGGAGCGAGGGGTGTGTGTGTGTGTGTGTGTGTGGTGTGTGGTGCACCCCTGCAGGGTGGAGCAGGAGCGAGGTGTGTGTGTGTGTGTGAGTGTGAGTGTGTGAGTTGCACTCCCTTGGCAGGGTGGAGCAGAAACAAGGTGTGTGTGTGTGTGTGTGTGTGTGTGTGTGTGTGTGTGTGTGTGTGTGCGCGCGCGCACGCTGTAGGTGAAGTGCACCCTGTTGATCTGGCGTGGGATGTGAGGAGAAGCTTGGCATGGCTGCATTTCTCTAGTTGCTCAGTTGTGTGGCATGGCTTGTTTGTCTTCTAGGATGTGGAGAAGGAGAAGGAAACTCACAGTTACCTCAGCAAAGAGGAAATCAAAGAGAAAGTTCATAAATACAATTTGGCAGTCACAGACAAGTTGAAAATGACCTTGGTAAGTACCCATAAAGCTTTTTAGGGTGACACCTGCCAAAAGGTAAGTATACATAGTGGATGCCAAATCTATTTTTAAATATCTGAACAACATTTGTTGAACTTTTTTCTGAAATTTATTATTTGAAAAGTGTAGAGTTAAAGAGAGGGAGGGAGGAGGCAGGAGAGAGAGATCATAGGGCCTCTGGTTGTACCCTGTCCACCAAATGGCCAAAGTGGCCGGGACTAGGTTAGGCCAAGCTGGGAGCTTTGAGCTCCATCTGGGTCTCGTGTGTGGGTAACACTTGGGCTGTTTCCAGGCACATTAGTAAGAAACTGCATTGGAGGTAGAACAGCAGGGACCAGAGCCATGTACCCATATGGGATGCCAGCACTGCAGGCAGCAGCTTAATTTGCTTCACCAGCAATGCTAGTTTCCTGCCAAGGTTTGGTGGTCAAGATATATACGACAGGAAGCTGCGAGTATTTTTGAGTAGCTTTGCCTCAAAAATTGTCTCAGAACCAGTTGCTGGGTTTGTTTTAATTAAAGATTATTTTCAAAGATTGTGTGATGTCCCCTTTCCCAAAGGGATTTGAACATCATTGTTTATCAGACACAGATGGAGAAGTAGATTCTGACGAGGTCTCAGAGAAGTTGTGCAGGTGTTGCCGTGAGGGATGCTGGCAGTGTCAGGAGGAGGACATGGGGTAGGGTGGAGCGAAGGCTGCTCTCCACTGGCTGTCCGGTGTAGGCTGCAGGATGGAGCCTTTGGCTCCCGGGCCAGCATCTGCAGCTTTGAACCCCACGGAGGCGCTGGCAGGAGAGAGAAGTGACGGCATGGTGATGGTGAAACGGGAGCTGCTAACCTAGGCTGGCATCTCCGCGATCCTCTAAATCGAGCCGGTGACCAGGTCTTGTGCCTGTAGTCGTGGGTGCCAGTTGCCAGGGCTCCTTGGGCCCAGGCTCTCAGTCTGTGGATGGGAGCTGACAGTTCAGTGGAAGATAGTGGGACCTGCTGCAGACCAGCCCTGGTGACTGGTGTGATGCTTGAAACAGCTTTTAATCATCAACCCTGGTGACAAGAAGTTGCTGCGGTGCAATTATGCCAAAAATGGGGAGGGGGCTGTGTGAAATGGGAAGGTGGGATGGAGAGATGGTAGGGCAAATGGTGCCAGAGTTATTCGTGGTTATTCCAGTGGTGACCAGTTTTGTTATTAAACATCTTCTTCATCAAAAGAGAAAATTTCTGTTACTTATTTCTCTTGTCCTGTGAAGATTAAAACAAATGTAAGTTTCCCTATAGTTTCAGAGATAACAACGTTCAGTTTTGTACAGTACTCTTCCAGAAGAATTAATGCTTTAAATTGATGTTGTGAACAGTAAGAGAAATGGTCCATAGGAGAGGTTTTTAATATTGTACTTTAAGATCACTGTTTATGTATAACACTTAAGGCTTTGTTTGCATGAAATATTGTTAATAGTTTATTTTTTTAAATGCACTGAATGCAAAAATAAAAGGTAAGACAAAACTTAGTACTGTTTTTGGTAACTAGTAATTCTATAAATTAAAACAAGTGCTTGTAGTATTTGTAATGTGCATAGTAACTAATGTGTTTATGGTATCAATTGCAACTACTTATGGTGTCTGAATCCTGCGTAGTATGTATAGGGGGCACTGCAGAAAGTTCATGGAAAATGGAATTAACAGATGTGTTGATTTCAGTGCAAAATTTTTTACAAGTCCATGTTCATGGCGGCGGGGCGGAGGTCTTGAAAATGTTTATGAAAAAAATGTGTGGTGTGAAAAAGCTATGGGTAGATTCTTCAGGTTTTTTTGCACCAAAGAATGTTTTAATGTTATTTTTGCTTGGTACTCTAAAGTACCCTATATTGTTGTATAGAACAATCAGTGTTAAGCTGACAGTTTGCTTCCTGGGACAGCCACTTAGGAGGAAAATAGGCCACTATTCCGTGTCTGCTCCTTGCTGAGACCCAGTGGTGACCTTCCTTTTTTTGCATGCATGGTCATCAGTTAAAATGAGGAAGAGCTTCCCCAGTGGCACTGTTAGCCCAGAGGTAGCCACAGGCCTTTAATAATTTTTTTTAAAAGATTTATTTATTTTTATTGGAAAGTCAGATATACAGAGAAAGATCTCCCATCTGTTGATTTACTCCCCAAGTGACCACAAAGGCCCGAGCTGAGCCAATCGGAAATCCAGGTCTCCCATGTGGGTGCAGGGTCCCAAGGCTTTGGCCTGTCCTCGACTGCTTTCCCAGGCCACAAGCAGGAATCTGGATGGGAAGTAGAGCAGGCGGACATGACCGACCCAGTGATCATAAGGGATCCTGGCAGATGCAAGGGAAGGATTCAGCCACTAAGCTATCACACCGAGCTGGAAACATGTTGTTTTGCTTTACAGTTGCTGCTGTGTGTTGGCTAAGGGTGCACTTTCTTTCCACTTCAGAATTCAAATGGGATTTACACTGGCTTCATTAAAGTCCAGATGGAACTCTGCAGACCCACGCAGACAGCCGGGCCGATGGCGCCCGGTGGCAACAGCTGCATGAACACACTTCACATCAGCAGCACCAACACTGTTGGGGAAGTGATCGAGGCCTTGCTCAAGAAGTTTCTTGTGACCGAGAGCCCTGCCAAGTTTGCACTTTATAAGCGTTGCCACAGGGAAGACCAAGGTACGAGGCTGCGCTTCCTGGTGGGAACTGTCTCTGCTTCTGCACAGGCCTTGTTCCCTGGAGTGGCCGGACGACCAGTGGGTGTGGCCATGTCAGTGATGTCAGAGCGTGGGGACAGCCCCGTGACGTCAGAGCCCAGGGATGGATTCCCGAAGGCGTGGTGATGGCGGCACCAACCTAACATTTCCTGGTTGCCTCGTGGGTCTGAGGAACGTGGAGGAGTGCCCGTGCCCGCGGAGTGATAGCCTCAGGGCAGGGAGTGCCACCTCCTCCCCGGGACCTGGGCTCTCTGTGGTTTGTCTTGTTTGGTGTTACACCGATATGTGTTGTCACCCAGAGGCATGCAGGGAGCGAATTACTTTTTTTTTTTTTTTTGGTGGTGGTCTTGGATCTGTCCTGAATCTTATACCTGTATTCAGTGAACAGAAAAAACAGATGTGTTACTACATAAAACTGACTAAGGTGTTCAAGTTCTAGGTCTCACAGTCAGTGAAAATTGCACCCATGGTTGACAGAGAGCAGTAACGTAGGAGTTTACTATGTGCTCACTTCAAAGTGATGTGCACCTGTGAGCTGTAGCCTAGTGTGCTCACTCAAGCCTAGCATGGCTATAGAGGAAAAGATACTGAGCTTGTCATGATGGCATTGCCCTGCGATGGTTTGGGATAAAACGCAGCTGAGTGATTGTATGTACTTTTTAATTTTTGATTTGAGAGGAATCAAGGAGAGACCACAGTGAGTGAGTCCCTACCCTCCCCCCCCACCCCAGTGCCATGCCTGCAGCCAGGAGCTAATGCACTCCATCCAAGCCTTCCACGGGGCGGGGGGAAGCCAGCTCCTGAGTCTCACCACTGTTTCCCAGTGCCTGCGTTGGCAGGAAACTGAGGCAGCAGCCAGAGAAGTGAGTGTGGTGAGCAAAGGCACTTTCAAAGGGGGTGCAGTGTTTTTGCTTTGTTTTGTTCTGTTTTTATTTGAAATACAGTGTTACAGTGAGAGGAATTGGCAGAAAGATCTTTCATCTGCAGGTTCGCCACCTTGTTGGCCACGATGGCCTCAGTGGGCAAGGGTGGGCCAAGCCAAAGCCAGGACCTGGAGCTCTGTTGAGTTTCTCGTGTGCATGGCAGAGATCCAAGCAGTTGGGCCATCCCCCACTGCTTCCCCAGACACATGAACACAGGGGGTGGGGGATCAGAAACGGGGCAACTAGGACTCGAACCATTGCTCCTGTGGGGTGCTAGCTGGTGCCCCAACCTGCTACACCACAATGCCAGCCCTGTTGCAGGCTTCTTCACTAACGAGGCCAGATGTCTGCTCCGTGTGTGCACGTTCTGTGAGCACAGCCTGTGGGGTGAAGCTCTGGAACTGAGCTGAAGAGGCCAGAGTTCCCAGCACTCCGGGCACTGTGGGCTTGGCAGCACTGGGAAACGTTTCTGTCTACAGGGAACTTGGCGTCTGATGTAGGCACTCCGAGTGTCAGTGTCTCTTGGAGAAGCCAAGCTGGCATGTGCGTCTTGCCAGCCCAACTGGACTTCAGCTGCCTTGTGTGCCAATGTTACCCTGGTAGCTGGCCAGTCTGTCAGCTTAGTCAGTGGTAGGTCTCTTGTGTGCGTGTGTGGCATGGGACGTGTGTGTGGCATGGGACGCATGTGTAGCCCTTCTGAAAGCTTGTGTTCTGATTGCTTGGTTTGTTTGTGGCTGCTAATTCTAAATTGCAAACAGATTTGCTCTTAAAGCTCTTGTGTCATGTTCCTTGAATGGCAAGCTTTCGTAAGAGATTTTTTAAAAAAAGATTTTTGGTTTAGCATTCTTTTTTTAATTTGCTCAAAGAGTTACAGAGGGCGAGTAAGAGAGATGTGCAATCCTTTGTTCACTTCCCAAATGGACACAGTAGGCGGAGCTGAGCCCATCTGAAGCCAGGAGCTTCTTCTGGGTGTCCCACATGGGTACAGGAGCCCAAGGACTTGGGCCATCTTCCACTGCTTTCCCAGGCCATAAGCAGAAAGGTGGGTTGTTGGTGGGACTTGAACTGACACCCATTTGGGATACTGGCACTGCAGGTGGAAGATTAACTTGTAAAGCCATGGTGCTGGCCCCTCTTGTTTAACTGTCTAAAAGGAGGAGCAAAATTAAGTATTAGCATGTTTTGGGACTAAACTTGATCTAAATTTAAGTTTCTTAAAAAATATTTTCTCCTTTTAAAAGAAATGATTATTTGAAGAGCGGAGTTAACAGAGATAGGGTAGGGGAAGAAATTATAATCCATCTGTTGGTTCACTCCCAGGTTGCTTCAAGGCCAGACCAATTCAAACCAGGAACTCATCCAACTTTCCCATGTTGGGTGGTCGGGGCCCAAATACTTGAGCTGCTTCTGCTGCCTTCCCAGGCGTGTTAGCAGGGAGCAAATGCAGAAGTGGAACACCTGGGACCTGAACCAGTGCTCCGATGTGGGGTGCCAGTGTCAGGGCAGTGGCTGTGCCGCATGCCGTCCCCATTATTCTCCTTAATCAAGGCTCAGTGTATGTTGAGCACATAGAAGTGGAATAGGCTTTGTTCCACAGGGGAGCTTGGAAGAAAGTGGGGGTTAGTCTGATCTAGAGGAGGGCGTCAGGATGGGTGGGTGGGGTGGCCTTGGGACTGATTAAATATCAAGTACCATTGCTCACATGCTGTGCTTCTTCCCCCAGTCTACGCCTGCAAGCTGTCCGAACGTGAACACCCCTTGTACCTGCGTTTGGTAGCGGGGCCCAGAACGGACACACTTAGCTTTGTTCTTCGGGAACATGAAATTGGAGAGGTAAGTGATTGTTTGTCATTGACCAAGCAGCTGGCCCTGTTTTACTGGTGTAGCCTGGAGGCTTGACCGCAGGGGAAGAAAGGGAGAGAGGGACAGACTAGACAGGAATTTGGAATGGTAGGAAGTGGGTCCCAAGTTGGACTATAGTCTGATTCTCTTGCAATGAAGTGGTCTGTAATTTGCAGAGGTAACAGGAAGCACAGGTTTTGAATTGCCATCTGGAGAGTCATTTGCCTTGCTTCCTGCCTCCCTGTGACTTTGCCAGCTGAGCTTTGAAAGTTGACATGCTGGGTGTTTGCTGCTCAACAAAAGTCAGCAGGCCAGATTCTCTCCCAAGGGAAATGTGGGAAATCTGATCTCCTTACTGTGAAAGACATTTAGCTTTGTAGAATTTTCTCTGCACTCTCCCAGTCAAATCATTAGTAAATTACTCCTCTGAGTTCATGTTTGCCTTCCCTCTCCAGGAAGACTGTCCTTGGGTCAGTTCAGCTGAGGAATAAAAGCTCTTTGGCCTGTCTTCCAAAAGTGCCAACTTGAGAGTGACATGAGAGCATGTCGTGGAAGCTCTGAGTCCCTTGTCTCCTGTCTGGAATAGGAAACGGTGCTAGGCTCTTAGCCTGTGTATATTTTCTAGATTCAAGGACAGGTGTTTGCAACAGTGAAGCTAGCATGTGAGATGGCTGTGGCCCATAGCAGAGTACACGGGTTTGAGTCCCAGCTCCACTCCTAATTCCAGCTTCCTGCTAATCCAGTTCATTGTGCCATCCACTGCTTCCTCCCAGTGTCTGTAATGCAGGAAGCTGGAGTCGAGTCAGAGCTGGAAGTGGAGCAGCTGGGACTCCTGTGAGCCCCATTTGTCGCAGGTGCACCTGCGCCATGAGGACTGTCCCGAGCTTGAGTCTCACCTCTGTTCTCTCGCAGTGGGAAGCCTTCAGCCTCCCGGAGCTGCAGAATTTCTTGCGCATGCTTGACAAGGAAGAGGACGAGCAGCTGCAGAGCCTGAGGCGGCGCTACTCTGCCTACAGACACCGGCTGGAAGAGGCCCTGGGCGAGAGCTGCAAGCCGGGCTAAAGCTACCGGCCGCCTGCCAGGAGGGCGCGGTGGGACCCACGCACTCAAGTGCCTCGCTTCGCAGAGGGCTGCCTGCTTGCCCTGTGATGCTCGGGTCGTCCCCCTTTTCTCTGCAGATCTAGTTCCCACAACCTGGTCACGCGGCCTCCTGCACCTTCAGCCACTACGTCTAGTGGGGCTCTGCTGGCTTGTTTGGTGACAGCGAGCTGGGGGTCTCCCCGCAAGCAGCCTTAGCAGAAACATCTGGAGTGCTTGGAAGCATGAACTCTGGGTTTTTGTGTTTATTTTCTGGTAGGTTATTTTAATTCTGTGATGATGATGTTAAGCTTGAGGATGCGCAGATGACTCTCTTTAAGAAGCTTAACGAGGAATCTCTCGGAATACCTGTTCTCTGTTGAAACTACCTGTCTGTGTCTAGTCTTGTAAGTGTTCAGAGGAGATGCATCCCTGGGACTCGAAAGGCACAGGAGTCCGGGCCCACCGAGGCCTCCTGTGAAGGATTTGGCCAGAGAGAGTCAAGAGCAAGTTTGGAAGAAGGTATGTGTAGAGGATGAGCCCTGGAGGGCCCAGCAGCAGCTGGGGGGCAGGCTGGGTGGGGCTGGGAAGAAAGGTGTATTGGCTTGAAGGCATTCAGGGGTGACATGGTCAGCCCATTTTAGGACTGCTCAATTGCCTCCGTGGGCAGAGTGTGGGAACGGAGCCAAAGACGTGGGAACGAGCCACAAGACAGACCGGGGAGCTGTGTAGCTAACCGGGGCCAGGCCTTGCCCGGCCGGGTCACTGCTCTTCAGAGGCTCCTGGTTCCCTCCAAAGGTGGTCTGCATAGTTTGGGGGAGGCACAGCTGCTTTTCTCTGGGTCGTCAGCTAGGAGCAGGAGCCCTCGCGATCTTGCATGACAATCGCTCCCTTTCCTCTTCCGTATCCCACTCGTCCCTCTTCCCTTCCTTTCCTTTTCTCGTGCCTCACCTTCTGCCCTCCTCCTTCCTGCCCCACTCTCCTCCCATCTTCTCCTGGTTGGTTGACAACCCAGTGCCTCCCCAGCTGGTCTGTTCTATGCCACTTGGTCCTGGGAGCAGCAAAATCCCCCCGCCCCGTGGGTGGCCGTTCTGGCAGTAGTTTAGCAGAAGCACATGTTCTCTGCAACCAAAGAGGTGCTTGTGCAATGGAACCTTCCCTAAAACGGGCGACACAACCTGTTTGTACACAGCAAAAGGGAGAAGGATGTGTGGTTTCAGAGGGGCCTTATCGGTGTATTTCTAGTCTAGAGTTTGTTTTATAAATTCCCAAGGAATTGTTAACACTTTGGTGACACCTAATGGATTCCTATTGAAATTCCAAGGTGCTTCAGTTCTTTGCCTCTTCCATGAACCGTGCCTTGTATTTCTGTCTCCTGGCTTTTCTGAGAATCCCTGTGTTGCTGGAGGCAGCTTCCGTGTTGGTTCTGCTGTGGCACCTGAGTTCTTGAGACAATCATTATTCGCCTAAGCTTTTCAGGAACTAGCAATTAAATATGTATGGCACATCTTGTTTAATTTTGCATGTAAGTTTCTTAGTACATTGATGGGGTTTTAGTGATGTTGTCATCCAATACTTTACCTTTGTTGTTCAGGGACTGCCTTTGTGATTTTTTTTTTTTAACTGGTTTTACTGTTCAGCCTGTGGCTGGGGCTTGAGTATACTGTTATCAGCCACCTGGTGTTCTAATTACTCAGCCAAGGAAACTTATATTTTGTGAAGCATTTGTTTCTCAGATTTAAGACACTGTTAGAACCTAAGATAGTAGCTGATGGGCATCTGTGAATTTTTTTTTTTTTACTTGAACTATAGATTTGTCTAAAATAGGCATCCTCAATCTATTTCTGGAACCTCGCTCACCGTCATGTGCACTACAAGTTGCAATTTGGAAGATGTAGTTTTGGAATTCTGCCAGTTCTTGGTTCTTGAAGACTCCCGTTTTCTCCCAAACACTGGTAACTGCTGCAGCTAACATGTTTATTGCGTCCAAGGAAAAGGCCCCTCAGGCCACTGACTCTCATTCCAAATCCTCGTGCGCATCATCATGAGCATTCAGTGTGTGATGGTACAGGAAGGAGGTGACATGCAGGGGTGGTATTGCAGGACAGCCTTGAAATTACAGAAGTTAAAAAAAGTATAATATTTATAATTTTGATGAGTTTTATTTTTATAGGGAAGATGTTTCTCCCCTAGAATTGTTTCTGGAATGGCAGACTTATTTCCATTATTAAAAATTGAAGTTTTTAGTTGACTCTTGCTTGTGTGTCTTTATTGAGAATGTGCCGGTGTGTGGGGAGCAGCCTTTGTCTGATGGGGGAAGAGTCTGATGGGGGCAGTGTCTGACGGGGGCAGTGTCTGACGGGGGCAGTGTCTAAGGCGGGGCAGTGTCTGATGGGGCACTGTCTGATGGGGCAGTGTCTGATGGGGCAACTTCCACGAGATGTCCTGTGTGCTTTGCCTGTTCTCTGAGGAGCAAAGCAGCTGAGCCCGTGTAGCACATTTCTGTGTTATTTGAACCTATGATCTTAACTGTGAAATACACATGTATTCCACAACATGTCAAAGCAAAGGACCTAAACAGGACACCCTGCCAGCTGCTGCCCGAACAGGCCCTCATCTGTAGAAATCCCCTCCCTCGACCCCTGTTCCTGTTCCTGACTGGTGCCATTGAGATAGACGTGTTCAGCAGAGTGTGGAGAGTGTTGGGGGAACCGCCCTGGTCCTGGCTTTGCACATCCTGTATCCCAGCTGTGTGTGTTGGGGGGGGGGAGTCACCACAGCACTGCCCCCTGGAGGACAGGTGAGGGAGGAACCTGCTTGGTGTCAGGCAGGTGGGTGAGCCATTCATTACACATGACATACCGGCTGCAAAAAACAAAATGTTCAGGTAGGAAATGGTGGCACTAGATTCTTGATTTTTCTGAAATATCTGGAGGCATTTGGAACTTCAGCCTGGGTTATTCTCAAGGTACCAGGCTGGGATGAGAAGGAGGATATTAGGGTGAGGTGAGATGGGGAGAGAGTTTTAATGAATTTCATCCCTTGAAGGATGTTTGCTTCCTGTCCCAGGCTTCTGTTTGTCACCGATTGGTAATTGTTGGTTAAATAGTTTTATATTGCAAAAGCATTATTTTGCTGTTGTGACATAGTTTGGCTTTTGTCCGTAGTTTTTTGCTTGTGATTTTCCTCTCTAAGGCAGGCCAAAAATTTGGGATTTTCCCCTGGCCTTTCCTATCCTGGAGATGGCTGTTGTAAAAAAAAAAAAAAAAATTTTGGTAATATTGTAAAACTCCCACTTCAGGAGAGGTCCTGCCCCTTGCCCAGGAGGAAGGGAAGCAGAAACCCCAGGAGGACTGTCCATCCAGACTATTCAGGGCCGCTCCGGGCAGCTTCCCTTCCATGCCTTAGTAATGCTTACACATTGAGGAACCCCCCAAAAGAACCACAAAGGGCAGGGTTTTGAGTGTTTGCAGAGGGCTATTCCTGAGAGAGTGGTCTGCCACACCCCGGCCCCCCACACTTGGATCCTTCATGATGAACTTTGAGGACATGTTTCTCCCAGTACCGTGAGCTGCTGCAGTGGCTGTGGGACCGCTGGCTTAGTGCTGCTTGGTCAGAAGTATAAGAGGGGTGTACCTGTGGCGTCAGAAGGGCCTGTGAGACAACAGCTGCCCTGGGGACAGAGCCCCGTCTGTGGAACAGACACTGCCCCAGGCAGAGCAGGTCAGGATGGAGTCGGAGGGGTTGGGGAAACAGCTGGTGTCTGCTGCAGAGCCCACTGCTCACTGCCAGGAGTCCCATACATTTTGGGATCCCAAAACTGATTTGTGTTGAGAAGGAAAGTAGGAGAAACCAAGTCAAAGCCTGCATTGGTTTTCCCTCAGTCAGATGCTGTAAAATGATCCGAAGGAGTTGTTTTGTCTTGGAAGAAGGGAGGGAATTCTGTACTGTACTGGCCACCAGCAGCAAAGTGCCTGCCATATGCCAGGAAGTAGAGTCTGGATTAACCCGTTCCTTCCCAGAAGAGGCACACGCTGCTCAGGTCCCATTTTACAGATGAAGGAATGGACATGTTGATGATCGGCCGGCCATGTGTCTGAGCGGCAGTGCAGGGAACTGCCCTGTGTGGCTGGCCATCAGCTTTGCCCAGGTTCCTATTGAACTGCCTGTGACCAGAGCCGGTGGGGGTAGGGGCTCTCCTGGTACAGTGGGACCTTGCTAGGCCAGAGTGGCTGCTCCCAGGCCGTGGTGGGGGTGTCCCATCTGCATGATTGCTGAGTTCCAGGTGATGAGATACAACCTGTCTGTTCATTGGGAAGGTTCTGCTGCTCAGGAGAAACTGACAAGAAAGCAGCCAGCTGGTCCCCAGGTCATCACCGCAGCAGGGGACATGGTTCCTGGAACCAGCAGAAGTCACAGGGAGCACCTGATATGGGTGCAAATTTGAGTGACACCTGTAGCGCTAGCCAAGGACTGTCTCCAAAGCAGTGAGGTGTTCAGCCTCCGAAGAGCACCGGGCTCCATGCAGAGGGTCGGCAGGTAGGTGTCTGAAGGCTGTGGAGTGAGCATGGGGACTGGGTGGGTTTGGTTTGGTTTGCTTTGCTTTTGGCTTTATTGATTTGGCAAACTGTTCCCCATTAATTGTAGGAAGTGGAGGGCACAGATCCCTTGGATCGGAATCATAATCTCCCACAGACCCTGATGCCTCCCGTCTCGGGCAGCAGTCCGATTCCACAGGCTGCTCTCTTCCTGTTTTTAGGTGAGTAATGGAACTTCTTTTTTTTTTCTCTTTGAGAGTTGCAGAGAGAGGAAGGGGTCTCGGCATTCTTTGGTTTACTCCTATGAGATCCTCCAGAACAGCCAGAGTTGAGGCAGACCAAAGCCTGGAGCTTCTTCCAGGTCTCCCACGTGGGTGAATGTATATACACAGCCAAACATCAGAAATGCTAAATTCAAGCTATTCAATTCGAACGTTGAAGAGAGAGTATAAGTGTGTATATGAGAGTGAGAGCTTTCATTTGCTGGTTTCACTCCCCAAATGATCACAACAGGGCTGGGCCAGGTCAAAGCCAGGAGCCTAGAACTCAGCCTGGAACTCTCATGTGGGTAGCAGGGGTCCAAGCCCTTGGGCCATCCTCTGCTGCTTTCCAGCCTCATGAGCAGGAAGCTAGCATGGAAGTGGAGCAGCCAGGATGCAAATCTGTGCACGTATGGGGTACGGGGTGTTGCAGGTGGCAGCTTAACAAACTGTACCACAAGTGCCAGCCTCAGGAGTTGTTTTCATTAGTGTGGTTTCTTAAATCTTTGGGAAGAATCTTGGATATCATGTGCCTTGTTTGTTACGTAGGCATGTGTGTGTTTGTAGGGCAGGAGCACGGTTTCTCAGCAGACTCTCCGTCGTGGGCAAGTGAGGTTCAAGGAGCCCCGTGTGTTCCTTGTATCTATAGAGCAGTCCGGGGCATCTCCGACATAGGGCTGTCCCTTGTACAGGCATGGTAAAATGTACTAAAATTCTAGACATTACGGAGCAGCAACGTTTAGCATTCTGGTAACACTTAGAGCATTACTGTTACAGCAGGCAAGAGGCTATATTCCAGCAACTGTTTGTAAAGATTGATTTATTTTCATTGGAAAGGCAGATCACATTTTACAGAGAGAAGGCGAGACAAAGATCTCCCATCTGCTGGTTCACTCCTCAAATGGCTGCAAGGACAGGAGCTTCTTTTGGCTCATGTAGGTGCAGGGTCCCAAGGCTTTGGGCCATCCTCTACTGCTTTCCCAGGCCATAAGTAGTGAACTGGATGGGAAGTGGAGTATCTGGGACATGAACCATGGGATCCTATATGGGATCCTGGTGCGTGCAAGGTGAGGATTTAGCCACTGGGTCATCATGCTGGGCCCTGTTTCCATTTCAAGGTGACAGATCTTTAGATTGTGATCTCAAAGTAATCTCTCGCCACCTTGCTCTTCTGCTGCCTTCCTTTTCATTTTGTTTAACAGCATAGGATCAATTGAAACCACATTTGAGAAGTGACTATCTTGTTCAATATCCTTGTGTTCTATACTCTTTTATTCTTACAGCCTTCTTTGTTGTGAAAAAAAATGTGGGAAAAAAACTTCCATTACATTTGTTCTTCGCTCTGCATGAAGAGAAATATGGATACCAAGTCTTAATTTTATCCACTCAGTAATATTTATAAGCCATGTCACAGTGTTGGGGACTGTCATATGGGTGATGGTGACAGAGCACATCAGGGGACCCAGCGTGTGGGTGCCGTGGACGCTGTTCAGTGCCATGGAGACTGAATGGAGGGCGTGATGAGAACGTGGAATCTGGAGGTCAGAGGCGGCTCCTGGGGTGAGTTCCTAGCTTGCAGCAGTGTTCCCTGCAGAGGGGGCCGGTCAGGTTTTGGAGGGGTGTTTTCTGTTGGCTCAGGGTCACACTAGCTGTTGTTTTTTCTCTATAATGAAAATGTTAAGGCTAAGTAATTCTCCCCAGGTTGAGTTCACCTTTGGCCAGTGTCAAGTTAACATTTACTGTGGCCATTGCTCTGGGTCTGAGTCGCATTTCCCCCTGGGAGATGGGGAGGGCGTCCCGTGTTTGCTCATTGCTGCAGGCTGTGTGGGGACCTGACCGGGTGGCGAGTGTGAACGTGTTGTGTGCACCATAACCCTGTGTGGAGTGAGGTAGTATTCTTTTTTTTGTTGTTGTTAGACTTTTATTTTATATTTATTGAAAAGGCAGATATACAGAGAGGAGAGACAGAGGAAGATCTTCCGTCCGATGATTCACTCCCCAAGTGAGCGCAACAGCCGATGCTATGCCGATCTGAAGCCAGGAGCCTCTTCAGGGTCTCCCACGTGGGTGCAGGGTCCCAAAGCTTTGGGCCGTCCTCGACTGCTTTCCCAGGCCACAGGCAGGGAGCTGGATGGGAAGCGGGGCTGCCGGGATAGAACCGGCGCCCATATGGGATCCCAGGCGTGCAAGGCGAGGAGCTTAACCACTTGCGCCACCGCGCCGGGCCCGGTAGTATTATTTTCTAACTTTCTGTTTCTACAGCAGCATGGCCAGTTTTCTCACTACGTATCATGTCAATACTAATATGTAGAAGCATCCTGTGTTTTAACTTCCAGGATAGGCAGTTTTTCCCAAGTAGAAAAGCTTTTTGCTTTAAATACAGTGTGTGTGTGTGTGTGTGTGTGTGCGCGTGCGTGTGTGTGTTCTTGTATTTTATATATATATATATATATACAAACACACACATACATATGTTTATATATCATACTTAGGGAAGGAAATGGGAGTTAACAACAAAGTGCTCAAGCTGCTAGGGCTGTTGGTGGGCCAAGCAGTCAGAGCTTTTCTTGTGCTCCCTGGAAGTATAACGTGTGGTCTCTCTTCCCTGTCAAGTTAGAGCCTAAAGGCTCGGCGGGACAGCTGGGAGCAGGAATGGCAAGTTCAGGTGGAGAGTGATGGCATGGGTTGTGAAGGAGGTGGCTGTGGCTGCCGCATGGGGCCCAGCCTTTGTTTCCTGCCGGAAGCACCCCTCTTTGCTATTCCTTTGCATCTCTCTGAGGTCCAGGGTGCAGAGTGTGTGATGTTCAGCATTTCATTGTCTGGAAACAGCTGCTTGGGAAGCTTTGAGACGGCAACGGACTCCATTCCAGACGCACCCCGAGCTTCAGCTTCCTGCCTGTCCTCTTGCAGTGTGTGTGTCCTTCTCTGGCTGGACTTAAAAAAAAATAATTGAAAGGAAGAATGACATCAAGAGAGAGGAGACAGATATTCTATCACTGGCTTATTCTCCATATAGACAAAATGGCTAGGGTTGGTCAAGCCCAAACCAAGAACCTGAAACTCCATCTGGTCCTCCCACGTGAGTGCAGAGGCCCACACACTTTGTTGAACTGCTGCTGCTGTCCCAGAAGCATTAATGGGACACTGGATTGGAAGCACAGCAGTAAGGACTTCAGCAGGTGCTTCCAAGTGCTTCCATGGGGGATGTTGGCACTTCTGGCTGAACTTTCAAACTGGGCTTTCTGTGGCATGACGGGAAGGGGCGGAGGGGTACCAGGATGCTTGTGGGGACAGAGTTTTGGTTCTTCTCTGCTGTGCAGAGGACCAGCCATGGCACTGAGGGCCTTTTAGGGGGGGCATACAGGAGTATCGCCCAAGGCTGACCACATGACAGAGAAGTTAATGGTCTTTACTGTAAACTGCAAGAAAAAATCACTTCTTGGCTTTTTGGCTAAGATCAAGCATAGACTGCGAGAAATAATCCCAAGTTTATTGGTCTTAGGCTTCAGAGTTGATGCTTACTGAGCCCGGGAGATGCTGGGAGGCCAGAGGGCTGGAGAGAAAAGTGCACAGAGCTATTCCAGAAATAGAATCAACTGTGCCTCTCCGCCCCTCTCCCAGTGCCGGGCGGAGGCGAGGGAGTCGACTGATCTCCATTTGGACGACAGGTGCCTCAGAAGCCCAGCCAGCGGCAGGACAGCTGCAGCTGCTGCTCTCTGCATCCCCTTTTGGGAGTCCAGAACCCACAGGACAGGAGGCGTGGGTTTGTGATGGAAGCCTGCTGGCCGAGGGAGAGCCTGTTGAAATGTTTTCCGACATGTGTGGAGGTTGTTTTAGCAGCCATCCCAACGGGGAAGCTTCTACTTGGTTTTTGTAGTGAAGGCTCAGAACCAGTGTCTGTTTATACACGGGTACTTCAGAACATGGATGGAGAGGTCTGCACTGTGACATAGCAGGTTAAGCTGCCTTGGACCGCAGCATCTTTACAAGCATTGGCTTGATTCCCAGCTATGACACTTCTGATCCCTGCTATTTTGTGCCTGCAAAGGTAGAAAATGGCCTGAGCACTTGAGCTCCTGTGGGAGACCTGTATATATCCAGCAAGGGGAACAGTCTCAGCCAGATGATGCCTTGCTCTTAAGAGCTGACAGTCGGGAGGGGCTGTCCGTTACAGGCCACCCCTCCCTGCAGGTTGTTGCTGGGTCGGCCCAGAATAGGAGGCTGGTCATGACCGTTCTTTATACAGGCCGTTTTTCAAGAGTTGTGTTTGCAGTGAGCAGCTTTGTTCTAGGATAAAACAATGCCTCATTCCTCAAAGAGCAAGCTTAGTGCTTGCTATCAAACAGCAGGTTGCTTAGGCTCAGTGCTTCTTTCCTTAGCAAAATTCACGGTGTGTGCAGGCATTGGTCTGTGTGTTTGCAGCACACCTGTGGGACTCAGGAGTGAACAGAGAGCTTGTTACAGCTACAGCCTAACCCAGGAACCTTCTGGTCAGTTTGTAAGAGTGAAATCCCATTCCAGAAACTCATAATTAACTGATGTGATATGCTTAAGCCTCCTGTTTTGATGTTAGTACCCTGGCAACCTCATGGTGTCTTCTGGTTTTCTTCTGTGCCGACATTCAGACCTAGCATTTGCCTATCTTAGTCATTTTGTGACAAAGTATAGCTCCCTTGCGTCTGTAAAGTTGTATTGAAACACAGCCACATTTACTCCTTTCTGTATCTTCTGCGACTCCTTTTGTGCATTAACACCAGAGAACACAGCATGCAACCCTAAATTTTAACAGCTATCCCTTTAAGGAATCTGTTGACCCCTTAATGTGATTACAGAACTAGGTTTCTGTGAGGGCAAAGTGAGCTCACTTTGCTCTTTGAGGAAAACTCTTGGCTGACTTTCAAGCTGCAAATGCATACCGGTTTATCAGGAAGGATTTTCGACACGGTGTCTCTATCAAGGATTACTAATCAGCAGGGACTATGCATATATAGGAGCTTTCCAGATGGAGTTGGCTCATGCCCATTGGGAGGTGTTTTACTTCAAGGGAAGACATGCATCAGGTGAGAATGACTAGTTGTGAACTGAAACAAAGGACACATTCAGAAATTAAAGGATACTAGAACAGAAATTATTTTTAATCCATTGAAAAGTGCAGCAGTGAACAGGGTCCTTGGAAGGGCACTTTCTAAGTGAGATGGAGCCGAGGGCAGAGTAACCTCCAGGAACAGAGTGACACAAACTGATAGGTCAGCCTGAATTTCTTAGTAACGATTGTGGAACAGCTTAGCTTCTTAAAGCATTAATTTGGGCATTAAAAAAAATGCAAGAACATGTCTCATGGAAGTCATAGCTGCTATGACTAGCATTAGTATTTTGTACAAAAACCTTAAAGTTGTCCATTAAAATGTGTTGACAGCAGCACCGTTTGTAAAATTCAAAGATGCTCTTAAAGATTGTTCCCGTTTTTGAGTTTGTGTAGGAAAGCTTCATAGGAAATCCTATAAGGCAAAAATCTCAGTTCATTGCTAAGGTCGCTGTTCGTTCCTAACGGTTTTCTTGTGAGTTCTCTTTAGTAAGGGCACTGATAGGCATGGACTGGACTTTCTTAAAAGGGAAAATAATGAAAATCCCAACCAGTATGAAAGAAAACAAGACAGCCTCTTGCATTTGTGTTCCTGTACATAAGCATCCTGAAAACAATGCATTTTGTAGTTTACAAACAAATTTCTTTATTCAAAGATTAGGTAGGAAATGTACCAAAAATGAAGTGGTCTGGAAGCGGCTTTGCCATAGCCCTGCCACCCCCACGTCTGCTGAATGCAGAGCAACCTGGCCAAGCTCCCGCCAGCAGCTACTTTGGCTGACTTCACCTGCGTTCCAGAACTGGCACCATGAAACTGAGTAATATGACATCACAGCCCAGTACCTGGTAAGAGTTGCTTGCTTTTTATTTGGGAATAACTGGTCAACTTTCATTGTTGTGGAAGTTGACTGATGAAGTTATCAAAATGGAAAATAAATGTGATACCCAACATTGCAGTTACATAATTTTTAGAATTTCTCTTAACACCCACATAGCAGAGGTGTTCATTTCACTGGCCTTTCATCTCTGGATAACACCTCAATTGCTGGGATCATATGAGGTAATGGAATGAATTCAATGACTAGTAACCTAACATGGCTGTCTAAAATTCTGATAAAGTTACTATGGCCTTGTCTTACAAAGTGCTTAAAGCTTGACAAAATCAGAGATAAAGCTACAGTTACTTCCTGCCTGGGTTGAACAGGTTGCGATCTACATCTCTGTTTACCTCTGCTATCCCACCACCAATCACCCCTCTTGTGAAGCAAACAGAAATAAAAGTGGTCTTCAAGCCAACAAAAATGTAGATGTTTTAAAGAAGTGGGGAACCTAAACAGATATTTGACAGGAGGAACAGTCACTAAGGTCCTAATCAAAACAGAAAACTCAGAAAAACAATCTCCTTGGGAGCAAACAGGCAGTGGTTAGTTGTTTGAACTTTGCATAAACTAAGACTGTCTTTCATCTCAGAACAAGTGAACAGAGTGACAGCAAAATGCAGGCAGAATGCCTGAGTGCACCAGCCGGACGCTGAGGGCCCCCCTGGCCGGGGCTTCCTTCCCACCTGTCAACCTGAGTCTAGCTATGCAATACTCTCAAACACAGCTTTCACCAACCTTTGGCAGTGTTTCTTTCAGTAAATACACCTAAGCCACTTTATTTTTCAGATCTCGGCGAGTAAAGCCCAGGGAGGAGAGGGCTTCCGTCAGTACTGCTCATGTTAACTGGCGTTCCATGTGGTCAGCAGCTGCTAAGTAGGAGACGGTCACCTCCGAGAGCTTCCTGGAATCCAGGTCTACTGTACACACTGCAGGTTCCAGCTCAGTCCAGATAGACTGCACACCTTCTCCCCGCCCCAAACAAAACCAACCCAAAACCAAGTGACTGCAACAAACAAGGCGTGGTGGACTGGAGTTGATGACAGTATCACACTGTGATGGATCTGCTGCACAATATCTCTGCTTATCAAAACTATGGGAAAGTGTCCTGATGCTTCTGCTCTCACGGTTACTGTCCAAGCCATGTAATGTTAGGGATTTTTATAGTGAGGTGCTCAATATGAAATGTTATACGGATCTTTTGGCTTTGGGTCCAGCTATGTTACAAAAACTTCCTTCCCAACCCTCCCCCACCCCCTTAAGTATTGCCATTTATCTGAATGGATTTATAAATTCAGACTCTGACCACACAGGGAACACTCAAGAACGGAGGTCCCAGTACAGAAAGGATATGGTGAGAACAAAGCCCCAGGAGGGTCCGTCAGCTAAGGGAAGAGGGTGGGCAGAGTTCACAGTTTCACAGGTTACACAAGGAAGTCAGCTGATTGGGTTGTTTTTTCCAACAGGACTTGAAACAAAGGCAGTTCAGGAACTCTTCCAGGCATGGTCTTGACTAGTTAGACATCTACTACAGCCACTCCAGAGAGAAGGGTGCAGGGTCCCACGGCAGAGGCCGGCTGCAGTCGCTACAGGAGATGTTTTGAAAACCTTCTAGTTCTGATGCTGCCGTGATGGCTGAACATGAGACGAGGGTCAAACCTGTACCTGGGAAAAGAACAAATCAGCTGTAGCACCAACTCTAGGTTAACTTCCCCAATGGGAGCCACACAATTACAGTGAACAGGATTTGTTTGGGAAACAAACCAGGCTACATTACTTCTTTATAGAGTGACTCTTGGGCAAGCCATTATACCAAGTTCAATTTTCTGATTTGAAATGTAGTGTTTGGGCTGTCTGGGCTGCATGGGAGTTCTGTGAATCCTTCTAACCATCAGTGCCAGATGTTCAGAGGCAACAAGGCAGATGCTAACCCAGCAGGTCTGTGTTCTAGCAGTGAGTGGTCAAGGATTGCTTGGTCACACATCACAGTTCAAGTGGCTCTAAGCCTTGGATCTAGCAGGAATAGTAATAAAAGTGGAATGAATTGCTATGGACATTGAACTTTATCTGGCTCGATAAAAACATTCTGAGCCATGTAGCTGCTGGAAATTACAAAAATCAGTCAAAGTCAGAGGTTAGAGCTCTAAGAGATTGAAATTTTTAAAAAATTTACTTGAGATCTCTGTCCCTGATGGTGCCTTTCATCTCCTGGTTCACTCCTTCAGTGCCTCCAGCAGCTGACTCCAGAACGGCAGCAGGAGTGGCAGGGCCCGAGTCATCACTGCTGCCTCTCAGGCTGCAGATCAGCAGGAAGCCTGAATCAGGGGTAGACCTCGGACTCAAGCCCAGGCCCGTGATGCCAACCACTGTGCCGAATGTCAGCCTCACAGTGTATATGACACATTCTTTACAGTACTGTTACACAGTGTTAGCTTACTTGTATCGGTATCTCCTTGGCGCCCTATTCTTTTTACATATATAAAACAAGTTGTGTATAAGTCAGTTTCTCTACTCATTTACCTACATTCATCTCTAGACTGAAGATTTAATGTGCAGAGGGCTAATTACGTTACCTTCCACAATTTCAGGACATCACTCTTCCCCTTCTATTACAGAGTATCAGAAATGAAATTACCCTTTCCCACTGAAAAGTTTGTTAACTTCATATCATCTTTGAGAACAGTGACAGCTTCAGGCCCCAGGAGGCTCTACTGCGCAGTACACTGACACCTAGTGGTCCTGGTGAGAGCTACCACTCAAGAGGCGAGGAGCAGGCACGCACTGGCCACCAGCACAACGCAGGGCTCCTGAGTCCAGCTTCCTGCTAATGCAAACCCTGGGAGTCTGTGGGGCTACCCGACAGTGGGGTGAACACAGTGATGCTTCAGGTGAGTGGATTCCTGCTGGCCCTGAGGGAGACCTGGCCCCTGGGAGCATCCAAGCCGGTCAGGGACTGTGGAGAGTGGCTCAGCAGATGGGAGCACTCGCTCCCTTCCTGACTGAAGAGCTATGGGATGAGGAAGAACAACCCCCAACTCCACAGGTAGTAATTCCCCACATACATTTCCACACTGGCATCTGTGCCTAGCAGCAGGCTGGTCAGTGTCTTTCATTGGCATTTCTGAGAAATGAAATGAAGGCCTATGTCCTTGTGCTCTCTAGGGAACAGGGCAGCACTGTATCAACACTTACAGAAGGCCCCAGTGCAAGCGAGTGACTTCAAGACAAAAAAATCACACCGGCGCAGGAGAGGAAGAGCCCCCGCCTCAGCAGGAGGCAGGGCTGTGGCTCTCACTGGAGCTGCTTGCCCCACGGACACGTACTTCCACCCCACGGGAGACATGATGAAAAGCAGCTCAGTTCTCAGGAAAAACAACTCCCTCTGCCTTCAACAGATGCAGCATATCCACTCAAGACAACGAACTTAGCAAGTCAAGGAAAATGAAACTTACTCAGGGTCAAAAACTCCTGGAGTACGACAGGTTGGCCCGGAGCAGGACTGTAGCATCATCAAGCGGTAGTTCATCTTTCCTAAGAGCTCTGGGTCAATGCTTTTAGCGATGTTAGTGATCTGGTCAGGGTCTGCAGTCAGATTATAAACTTCCACAAACACCTACAGGAAATGGAAGGATGGAAGAACAGGATGGAAGGTGTATGAAGGGTGGAAGATGAAACGCCCTAGGCCCAGGAGAGTGGCACATGGTCCTAAGCCCCTCAGAGCTGCCTGTGACCTTGAGACAATGCAGCATCTGTCGTGGGGATTCGGTTGCTTGCTACACCCCTTGTGCCTCTGGGCAGCCGGCAGGGGCACGGAAGGAAGGGCCCTCACATGGCATGCTCTCTGCAGTCAGGCCACTGAGAGGACAGCCTAGAGTTAAGGGCTAATTTTTTCTGTTTCTAAGAGGTGTGTGACAATGTTAGCTTTTCTTACTTTAAAGGTAGTTGTGGGCCTGGCGCTGTGGCCTAGTGGCTAAGTCCTCACCTTGAAAGCCCCGGGATCCCATATGGGCGCCGGTTCTAATCCCGACAGCTCCACTTCCCATCCAGCTCCCTGCCTGTGGCCCGGGAAAGCAGTCGAAGATGGCCCAAAGCCTTGGGACCCTGCACCCACGTGGGAGACCCGGAAGAGGCTCCTGGTTCGTGGCTTCGGATCGGAGCAGTACCGGCCTTTGTGCTTACTTGGGGAGTGAATCATCAGACGGAAGATCTTCCTCTCTGTCTCTCCTCCTCTCTGTATATCTGACTTTGTAATAAAAATAAGTAAATCTTAAAAAAAAAAGTAGTTGTGGATGTGTGACCGTGCCTGAAGAAAGATCCAGTATGTATTTAACACTAGACATGCATAACATGTCAGCATTTCCTTCTGTCATCTTTATGCTGACCAAACGGGTCAAGTGATACGCAAGGATTATGGTAGTAAATGCTGCTATTAGTGACTTCCAGTAGTTGCGTTCAGACCATCACTTACGAAGTAGTTTATCAAACAGGTGAATGTTATGGCGAAAGAGGAATAGGAAGCGAGCCTGAGGAAAGCTCTCCCCTGCCAGGCACGGTGCTTCTGAGGTGTGAACAGCACGGGGAGGAAGCTGGTTTTACGGACACAAGCATTCAGCTGCTGTGGTCTGCAGGGCTACCCGACAGGTGTGAACACAAGCTCACCCACGGTAGGAGGCCACAGGGGAGCAGGGGCCCCACGCGGAGCCTTCAGCCAGTGTCCACCGACCCATGCTGGGCCCACATCCACCCTCCCGGGGCGATGATGCTGCCTAGCCTCAGCCCCTGCCTGCTCCTGAGCAGTGCTGGGTCGAGCACTGGACTTTGCCTGTGAGTCGGCTGCTAGGGAGCTTTCTAGGAAATGCCCGCATGCCCTGTGCCTCCATGCAGGCCGACATGCTTCACCTTCACTGGATCAGACCGGGAAGGTCACGCAGCAGGCACAGGTCAGTCTGAAAAGTGTGCATTTCAAGTGTGTGACTGAGTAGTGGCTGATGCAATGAGAAATGCCTTCAAAAAGGTCAGTTAGGGAGAGGCAGGCACGGCCTCCGGAAACTGACTTAACTGAAGGGAACCAGAGGTCAAGTACAGATGAGAACATCTTAGGACTTACTTCCAGACCACCAAGTGCAACCCCAGGACACTAGTAACAAATGGACAGAGGCCCAGGCCCCTCTTACCTCCTGGTCGTCAAACTCGCAGTACTGCAGGTTCCACAGTGCCGACATGGTCCTCACACAGGCATAGGTGTTGTTGTAGGCATCTTCACACACACAGTCTGGGAAACATTGCTGGAGGGGCATTCAGAAAGAAAGATCATTCTTTCTACCCAATCAATGCCTACTGCTGACAAGGGCAACAAAGTGGAATGGACAGAAACCAGGAATCCTTTCTCAGAAGCAGGTGTGGGGGCCAGTATTGTGGCATAGGAGGTGAGGCCAGCTTGTGAAGTCCTGGCATCCATATGGGTCTTAGCTGCTCCACTCCTGGTATGGCTCCCTGCTGATGGCCTGTGAAAAGCACATGATGGCCCAAGGGTTTGGGAGACCTGGAAGAAGTTTGCTTCAACCTGGTGCAGTGCTAGCTGTTGTGGCCATTTGAACCAGCAGAGGGGAGATCTTCATCTCTCCCCCTTTCTCTGTAACTCAACTTTCAATAAACTTAAAAAAAAAAGTAAGGTTTTGCTCCTGACTCTGGCCACCCCTCTGCGATGCTCTCCTGACAAGCAGTTATAAAGCGCACTTGTCGAATGTACACAGCGGCATGGTCACTGCCCCCAGGAGTCATCTGAAAGAGCGACTGGTGTTACTGTCAACAGAAACTGCCTACATGAGCACTGTCAACTCAGCTGCAGCTATTTATGAATGCTCCTTTAAAATAATATTGATACATTTGTCTGAAAAGCAGAGACCTATGTATTGGTTCACTGCTCAGATACCCACAAAGGCTTGGGCTGCACTTGGCTTAGCCAGACCAAATGCAGGAACTCCTCACAGAGGTGGCGTGAACCCAAGAATCCGGGCCAGCATCCCTGCCTCCCGGCACATTAGCAGAGGGCTGGGTTGGAAGCATAGTAGCTGGGGCTCAAATGGGCTCTTCCATATGGGATGGTAGCGTCCAAAGAGGGGCTTTAATCCTGTATGCCACAACGATCCCACGAGTGTTTTTTATCAAATAAGATCAAACTTGTAACTTACTACTTCATGTCTTCCGTAAGAGATGTTACTTGTACTCTGAGTTTGGTTCTTTCACAGTATTTGGATGTTATGAAAACAACTCTAAGTGGAAGTCTATTTCCCACTCTCCAAGTGAGGCCAACATGGGTGGCTGTTACTACCGTCACGACCTGCCTGGGTGCCAGCACTGCAAGGCACTCTTGATGGCATGGCTAAAGGTAGAATCTCATCCCTGCACCAGACGCCACTCATAAGAATGGCACAGCTACGGAGGGTGGGAAATGGAGGGGAACAGGGTTTGACAAGTGCAGGCACACCGGCTGATACAGGCACTAGTTCTGTAAGCTGAAAGGATCTCAAGTATACATTCTGATGACAGGTTCCCAGCAGCACTTTTAGGATCAATGCTGTGTTCAATGAAAAAGTGATAGAAACCTTTTCAAACTATTACTCACAGAAACTCCAGGACTTAGGGAGGGACACGTTGGGTCGGTGACGTTACGGCCTTCTCCTTGGTACTCCACCAGGACATCTGATCTCCAGGTCAAGTTACTGGCCCCTGTCTAGAAAGAAAAGCCGAAGCAGCTTCTGTGAGGCAGACAAACTTACTCTTGTACCTAAGGGGACTTGTCATCAAAACCAATTGGACTGTTCATTTGGTAACTCAGGAAGGGACTGGAGTGGGTGCTTATGAAAGCTGCTGAGTAGCATGCCTGGTATTTACAGAGTCTTTACAAGTGACGACAAAGCTCTTTGAACATTTAATAGTTTCTTTTCAAGACTGTCCCCGAGAAAGCAGGTCAGGGATTGGAAACTGATGAAGTAGCCAGCTAAACAAAGCTCAGCGTCACAGCATAAATTACTCAAAGTCTGGGTTGAACAGTACTATTTATATGTTCTGCGTAAGAACTGTTCTAAGCTCATTCTTAGGGCAACCCAACAGGACAAGAAACAGAAAGGGCTGGCATGTAAAAGGGCTGTAACGGAGCTAAGGATCTGGTGATGATCGGAAAGAAGGTGCAGTATATGAACTTGTTTACTGTGCTGCATACCGCTGAAGGACAACCAGCAGCACTGAAAACCAGAAAGTTAATACAGGTGCAGTAACGGCAACAGGAGGAAGAATTTGGGAGTAAGAACAGATTTTTGATCAAAAGCACATGAATATAAGATGAAAGAAGAAACATGGCAATGTGATGGTCTGAAACCCAGCAGGGAAGCAGTGCAAAGTCAGACTGGAGAGTCAGCGGGCAATCTCAACAGGAAAAGGCCCTACACATTAGTCTGTATGTCTGTCCAACATACAGCGGCAGGTGATGGAGAACATTGCGCTCTGAACAGGGAAGTTCCACAACCAGGGCTGCGTAGCAGCTAGGATGCCTGTGTTCTCTATTGGGGTATCTGGGTTCAACTTCCAGCTTGTTAATGCAGACCCTGGAAGGTAATGATGAAGGCCCAACTAGTTGTGTCCCTGCCACCCAACTTGTGAGAACTGCAGTGAGCTCCCAACTCCTGGGTCTGGTCTGGCTGTTTACAGACAAGTTCACTCTCTCAAAGTTAGCCAAAGAGCAGAATCAGGGGATTGGGAGATGGAGGAAAAACTGGATAGGAAGGTTTTAGAACATTTTAAGAGCAGGTTTGGTAGGACAGTCTGAAAAGCATGAACTCAGACCCCCAGCAGCCCTAAGGAACCCAAAGATGCTCAGATCCTGCAGGAATTCCCATGAACAGTGAAATGGGAGAAGCTGCTTTACAGCACAAGTTCTCATTTAGCCTCCCTGGGGAACTTGTTATAAATACAAATTCTTAGTTTCCAGTGGAGGAATGGAGCAGCCTGGATTTTAAGGAGCACCACAGGCATTTATGGGGAGCTGTAGAGAGCGGTCCTCTGCTGTAAAGGACCTTTAACCAGGGCGAGCATGTAGGGGAAGGAATAGTAACCTTAAAGGTCAGAGCAGTAGGAAAGCAGTCGGAAACAGCAACCTGTTTCCCAACCCACTCTTCTGCAAGGAAACCTGATTTAGGTCTGTGCAGTTCCGGGCCTCAGACGTGAGTCACAGGAATTACAGAAGCTGTCATATCAGGCCCAAGTACACACACGTCTGAGCCACAGAAGCTGGAGGCTAGAGGTTTGAGTGATTTTGAGAGTTTAGAGGGAGTGGACACTGGCCTATGATTGAGGCTCCCATTCCACATCAGAATAGCTGGGATCAGTCCCTAGAACTCCAGCTCGACTCTACCATCCTGCCAACGTAGACCCTGGGAAGCAGTGATGTTATGCCACCCACACGGCCTCACTGAGGGGTTTGTACTCACCAAAATGGGCAATAAGGACATCCCATCCATCTGCGTCTTATTCAGGTTATAGCCAGCAATGTCCAAAATAGTAGGGCCTAAGTCAATGTTGGCGACAAGCATCTGTGAGAAAGGAGAAAAAGAAAATCAACCTACAATACAATTGCTCCCATTTTCCTTTCTAACCTAAAGGAGAGTAAAACCATCAACCTATGCAACAGATAGCATTCACTGTGACCTTTTGTACAGCCTGTACTTCCTTGGGTCTCACCATTTCATGTATTTAAATACAGGAACTTTTTTTTTTTCAAAGGAGGAGCTTACAAGTTTATAAATAATTCCCCTCAGAAGTGTCATATGCACTTATTGCACCATAAACTGTTATTATTCCTTTTTTTTTTCTTTTCTAAAAGAAAGATTTGAAAGACCAAGTGACAGAGAGAAAGGGAGAGACAGATCAACCTTCCATCCATCCACCTGTTCATTCCCCAAGTGTCCACCACAGGTAAAGCTGGGCCAGGCAGAAACTAGCAGCCAGGAGCTCCCATCTGGTCTCCTACATGGGTGGCAGAACCCATGCACTTGAGCTGTCATTTTCTGCCTCCAAGGAGAACTGGTAGGAAGTTGGATCGGAAGCAGAGATAGGACTTGATCCCAGGCAGTCTGATACTGGGTGTGGATGCCTCAAACAGCAGCTTTACCCGCTGTGCCCTGACCAAGGTGTTTTTTAAAAATTACTTCGAAAATGCTGATGAGTCAAGGGAATCATGAGAAACATGCTGAGCTGATCATTTCTGGGCAAAGTTTCCAGCTTGATTATCCAGATCAGTTCACTAAATCTGAGTTTAGGTACTAAATTTTTTTTTTAAGCTCAAAAGATGCATGCCATTTACAAAGCAGTTTCTCAAAGAATCTTGCAAGCTTTGAAGACTGAACAACTTATTCTAACAAAGCTTTTGGTTTCTTTTCAAGATTTTTATTGGAAGGTCAGATTTCTAGAGAAAGGGAGAGAGAGAGAGAAAGATCTTCCATCCAGTGGTTCATTCTCCAAGTGGCCATAATGGTCAGAGCTGAGCTGATCCAAAGCCAGCAGCCAGGAGCTTCTTCCAGGTCTCCCATGAGGATCCCAAGGTTTTGAGTTATCCTCCACTGCTTTTCCAGGCCACAAACAAGGAGCTGGATAAGAAGTGGGGCAGCTGGCAGCATGATAGCCTAGCAGTTAAAGTCCTCACCTTGCCTGCACCGGGATCCCATATGGGTGCCAGTTCTTATCCCAGCAGCCTGGCTTCCCATCCAGCTCCCTGCTTGTAGACTGGGAAAGCAGTCAAGGATGGCCCAAAGCCTTGGGACACTGCACCCATGTGGGAGACCCCAGAAGAGGCTCTGGGCTCCTGGTTTCAGATCAACTCAACTCCAGCCATTGTGGCTACTTAAGGAGTGAACCAGCAGACCCAAGATTCTTCTCTGTTTCCTTCTCTCTGTCCATCTGTCTTTGAATAAAATCAATTTTTAAAAAGGGGGTGGCAAAGAGATTAAATAAAACCTCCAGAAAACTTGCTTCTGAGTTACTATAGCCAGCTGTAGAGCTAGGAGAGTCATAAAAGCATCTTCACTAGCCTGTAATTTTCTTGGTGACCAGGATAGACATCCTGGCTGAGGGTGGACTGGTGTAACCCTCCAGCTGTCAGAAGTGACCACTCAGTGGAAGGCAGCTCATGGGAAAGGCAATCATATGTTACTGAGAAAAAAAAATCCACAAAATGAAAAGTCTGCAGAGAGTATTATAGGAGCCACTGTCAGAGACTGTCCCTAGTTCCAAGTCTCAGGCAAGGTGAGCAACTAGGAATACTGGCTGCCAAGGCTCAGTGAACATGGAGTGATCTTGTTAGAAAGCAGAGACAGCAGGGGACAGGAGTTCCCCAATCAGAGCAAGACAAGGTGTCCACAGACCCTGAAGGGAGGGGAGACCTCAGTGACAGTCACTCCACAAACGAAGGAAGATCCATCCTGCATGCCTTACCGACATGGCCAGGACAGTTTATAGGAAAAGAGAAATGGTAAATACCAAACGGAAGCTCCACAGCTGTGAACCGGTGAGGGCCTGTTAAGCACAAGCTGCCTCAAAGGCCAACAGTTACACAGAAAGGACTGTTCAAGATTTTAAACATTTGTCACTGTCACAGAGAGGGCAGGCGAGAGCGGGAGGGATCTTCCATCCCCTGACGTACTCCCTGAGTGGCCCCTCCCCAGTGGAGCCGGGCCATGCTGAAGCCTGGAACTTGATCAGGCACTCCACATGGGTACACGAGGCCCAGACTCTTGGGCTATCTTCTGCTTCCTTCCCAGCCACATAAGCAGGAAGGGAGCTGGATTGCAAGCAGAGTAGTCAGGACTTTAAACTCATACGGGGTGCTGGCATTGCAAGAGGTGGCCCAACTCTACTGTGCCACCAAACGAGCCCGGGAGACTCTCTCTAATGGCATTTTGCTGCAGAGAGAGAAAAATCTCTAAGTTCTACTATAAATCCAGTCACCAAGGTCTGGCACAATTTTGCCATTAACATGTCATGATCACATCTTCCTTAAATACACTAGGTAAGTTCTAAGATTCTGGTAAAGAACCTCAAAAGTAGTGACCTGGGGCCAGTGTTGTCACACAGCAAGTAAAGCTACTGCAGGCGATATTAGCATCCCAAATAGTGCTGGTTCAAGAACCAGCTGCTCTGCTTCCCATCTAGCTCAGTTTCCTGTGAATGGCCCAAGGGCTTGGGTCCCTGCACTCATGTGAAAGACCCAGCAGAAGCTCCCGGTTCCTGGCTGTGGCCTGCCACAGCCCTGGCCACTACAACCATTTGGGGAGTGAACCATTGAATGGAAGAACTGTCTCTCCATCTCTTTCTTCATGTAACTCTGGTTTTAAAATAAATAAATCTTAAAAAAAGTAGCATGTTAAGTTAGGAGCTGAGAGGCCTCTCGTGGACACTAAAATGTGAGTGAAGAATTCAGAGGAATTTTTTCTAGCTCTGGTTTTATTTTATTTTATTTATTTTTTTAGCTCTGGTTTTCATACAACAAAGAATTACAATGTACATCATGGTTCAGTGTGGTAATGCCTATTGAAACATTACGAGTTTCAAGTGGCTGCAATGACGGAACTTTCACCACATTATGTTTTAGTATAAATTTTCTTATAAAGGTTTTCATCTGAAAGGCAGACTTTGTGGAGGCGGAACAGAGAAGGCTTTCCATCTGCTGGTTCACTTCCCAAATGGCAGTAACAGCCACGACAGAGCTAATCTGAAGCTGGGAGCCAGGAGCCTCTTCTGGGTCTCCCACTTGGGTGCAGGGTCCCAAGGACACAAACCAACCTTTGTCGCTTTCACAGCCAGAAGTAGAAATCTTATTAGGAAGTAAAGCAGCTGGGACACGAATCGATGCCCAAATGGGATGCCAGAATTGCAAACAGAGGATTATTAGCCTGATACAGCACTGTGCCACCCCCTAAGTATACACTAAATGACTCATTTATGAGGCAAGAGTTGTTGTAGAGCAGGTAGGGCGACCGCCTGCAATGCTAGCATTCCCACGGGGCACCAATTTGAGTCTCAGCTGCTCTGCTGCCAATCCAGCTCTCTGCTAATGTTCTTGGTCCCCTGCTGCCCATGTGGGAGACTCAGATGAGTTCCTGACTCCCAGCTTCAGCTTTCCTCAACCCTGGCCATTGTGGTTCTTTAGCAAGTGAACCAGGGCATTGAAGATCTGCATCTCTCCCTTTCTTTTTCAAATGAATAAATCTTACAAATTCTATTTGCACACTTTGTATGACCAGAAATACATTATTCCACACTGCATGGTCTCTCAATTTGTTAGAGGATGTTCTGATCAAGTAAAAGGTCCTCAGGAAACCCCGGGGTATGCTATCAAGGATTGTCATGCACTAACCTCTCGACTTTTAGCTCCAAGAAAGACAGGGCTCCATAATTACTTACAAGAGCAAAAAGGCAGTGGTTCTCAGAATACATCAATCTCCAAACACACACTTAAATCTGGATGTTAAAGAATTTACACAGGACTTTCAAAGTCAAGCTTCAAGGCATACCAGCAAGTGCCCGTATCCATTCAGGGAAAACTCTGACTGCATGAGAAAGCACAGAACTCCCACCTTGGGCCACCCATCCACATGGCACCTGCTGGTAATGCTCGAGAGTTGAGATTCCACAAGGCAAGGCTTACTTTTCCCAAAATCTTAAAGCCAACAGGAAGTTTTCCTAATTGTTCAGTTCTATTTCTGCTGGAGCCTGATATGTCATTCCAGTTTCTTTCCTAAAAAATTCTACTCAAGAGTCAGTGCCATTGTGTAGTGGGTTAAGCCTCTGCCTGTGGTGCTGGCATCCCATGTGGTTGTCAGTTTGATTCCCAGCTGCTTTACTTCTGAAACTGCTTGCTCCCTTCTAATGCACCTAGAAAAGCAGCCAAAGATGGCCCAACACTGGACCTCTTCACCCATGTGGGAGACCTGGAAGAAGCTCCAGGCTCCCAGCTTTGGACCAGTTCTGGCTACTGAAGCCATTTGGGGATTCAGCCAATGGATGAAGATCTCTGTAACTATGCCTTTTAAATAAAAATAAATACATCTTTAAAAATAACCTCTAGGACCCAGCACAGTAGCCTAGTGGCTAAAGTCCTTGCCTTGCACGCACCGGGATCCCATATGGGCAGCAGTTCTAATCTTGGTGACCCCACTTCCCATCCAGCTCCCTGCTTGTGGCCTGGGAGAGCAGTCAAGGACGGCCCAATGGTTTGGGACCCTGCACCCACGTGGGAGACCCCGAAGAGGCTCCTGGCTTCAGATTGGCTCAGCTCCAGCTGTTGCACTCACTTGGGGAGTGAATCAGACAGAAGATCGTCCTCTCGGTCTCTCCTCCTCTCTGTATATCTGACTTGACAATAAATAAATCTTTAAAAAATGAAAATAGAATAATCTATCCACAGAGTAGTGTAAAAAAACATGGATACTGACTTTAAGAATAGGGTCCTTAAGAGAAAAAGAAAATACAAGAGATAATTAAGAGAATTCTGACAAATCTCTTAAGAAGGCTCTGAAGGAGAGTAAGTGAAAGGCAAGCACGTAGACATTAAGTCTCAGATTAAGCCAGATTACTCAGATCAGAGAGGCTGGCCTGTTTTGAAACCCACTTTGCACTTTTCACTACTTTCTTGGGTTTCAGAGTCAGGACCAAAAGATTTTGGGAAGGACAGCAGACCTCAGTGGCCAAGTCCGGCGAGCCTTCTCTGCCAAGTGTGAGAGCCAGGTGCTTGAGAGATCAAAGTGGCCATGATCTCCAGGCAGATATGTTAGTGATGGCAACCAGATTCTGGGGAAGATCAGGAAGCTGAATGGCACTGGCAGCACAAGAGTGTGACATCTCACAGGGGTTCTCGGGGAGAGGCAGCAAGCAGAAGGAAGACCCCGCAGGGCCAGGCCAGTCTCAGAGGACAGGTTCCTGATGATCCACTACTCAAAGTGAGGCCATGATGGCCAGCAGCAGATGGGAGCCGTGCCCTGGGCAGAGAGCAGCATCAGCATCTGCACTGAACTCGGAGCGCTCACACGGCACAGCCCAAGGAGCTCTGCTCCCCAGAGTGGACCCCGAGTCAGGCTGCCTATCAGAGTCGCCTGTAAACACAGGAAGCAGATGCTAGGTCCCACTAGCTCACACATACACTGCTCTTCTTTACAACGCTGATGAGTGCCCTTTGCTGAGAATCACTGCAAGGCAAACACCCAGGGGGAACGGTCAGAAGATGAACAGGGAGGTGCATTTGGCCTGGTGGTTCATACCCTGTTCGCAGGCATCCCATGTCACAGTGCCTAGGTTTGAGTCCTGCCTTTGGTCCCAATTGCAGTTTCCTGTTAATGGGGACCGTGGGAATGGTGGTGATGTTTCTCAAGTAAAAAGCTTTTAGAATGGAAAAAGTTATTCATGATAATGTGACATGCTTAAAGACACTCTGGGACACCTGCACTCCATTTCAGGGTGTCTGGAGTCCCAGCTTCTCTGCTTCTGGTCCAGCTTGCAGCCAAGGAGGAACTTAGAAGGTGATGATGGTTCCCGTGCTTGGGTCCCTGGCACCCAGGTGAAGAACAGATTCAGTACTGGTCTCCTGGATTTGGCCTGGCTCAGCCCTGGCTGATGTGAGCATTTGGGGAGTGAACCAGTGGATGACAGTGGTTTTTTTTTTTTTTTTTTTTGCCTTTCAGATACAATAATTGTTTTAAAAGGTTCACAAGCACATGCGATTTTGCACTGATCAGCCGGCCCCCTCCTGGGTGAGTAACTACCTGTACAAACCATCAGTTTGTCAGCACCTACCTTGCTAGTCTGATTTGGTTTGATTCCAGGCCCTCGAACCAATAGTGGAACTTTGATGTCAAACTCATACAGCTGTCGTTTGTCTATTGGTAATGAAAATTGTCCTGAAAACAAAAAAACACAAGGTAAAGATGGTTCCAGGACATAAGTGTTGCTCATACTTCATTCAATCAGTAGCAAAAACTGACAACCTTGTGCTACTAATACTGTTTTAACAAAAAGCATAAATCTGCCTGGATCTCACTATCTCATTATTAAAGGGCAGGAAAAACTGAGTTCAGTCCTAAGCACATGAAGAAACTCATTGCTTTAAGACATCAAGATAAATCAGTAGAAGTAATGGCTGCAAAGTACCAAGATATCAATACCTAAGAACCTATGCATGGGCCTGGGCATTTGGCCTGGTCAGTAAGACACCACGCACTGTATCCGAGTGCCTGGGTCTAATGCCCTGTTTACTCCCAACTCTAGCTTCCTGCTCACACAGATCCTGGGATAGTGCCAGTGTTTAGGTCCCTGTGTTCTTAGCTCCTGGTGTTAGCCTTGGCACTGTAGGCATTCAGATGATGAACCAGAGAAGAAAGCTCTTTGTTTATCTGCCTCAAATTAAAAAAAAAAAAGCTTAAAGAAGTCAGTTTTTTTTTTAAATCCATTGAATGTATTATGCATGATACTCAACCTCTCCACAATTGAATAGTTACACCACAGTCTGCCAAATAAAGGGACAACATCTGTCCTTCCTTTGCTCAATGATCTGCTCTGAGTTAGCTAAATAATTGATGAAGTGAAGTTCTCTAAGGAATCCAGCTAATAACTCCGAGAGCACATAACTACGAAATCATCATTTTGCAGTTTCTTAGGGGATAATGGATATAAGTAGCATTCCACAATGGAATTTTCACCATTTCAGCAATCATCACCGACACAAGCTTCAGTGAAAGGGCCACGGGAAAGGCTCAGGCTGTGGCCAGCCAAGCCGTCCATCAAGGCATCCCCAGGGGGAACAGTCATACCAAGGGCCAGAACTCATTACAACAGAAGCACATACACAGCAGCCACATCACCAAGGAGACATTCTCACCTGAAAACCCACATTCTCACTCAGTCTTGACCCAACCACCAATCTAACAGGAAATACGGGGCGGAGATGAACAAATGGTGGCATTGCACTACACCGACGACCAAGTGCAGAATGTGAGCTAGTCTAGCTGAAAGAATACACACTCTTCCTTGTAAGTCAATGGCAAAAACCAGACATAACAATTAACGGTAACATACAAACTTTTAGTCCTTGAAAACAAATTAGATATGCAAAAAATAATAAATAAGAAATGGAAGGGGGCAGGAAGAATTCAGAGGACTGGCCATATGCATCGAACAACAGGGGTTTTACTCATCTTCTACTTTGCTTTAAAATATTGATAATAATACACTAAATGGCTATTCAATCTGCTCCTATGTAAGTAAACTTTAGTTCTAGTCAAGTGGAAATTTATATATGAGTAAAGAAAACTTCAACCAAGGTACAGATAGAAATAAATATCAGGGTCATGGAGCTGACTAATACTGCAGTTCTGTAACATGAAATTCCAAAAAAACCACAAATTCTGCGATTTAGCAAGAAAGTATTTCCCCAACCAATCTTCTCTTGGGCTTCCTGTCTAGAATATCTTAACTCTTAGTCTCTAGAATCTTCTTACCTGTGAAATTAAGTTCAACCTTATTTTTCTGGTCAAGTGGAGCCTGCCTCCAACCCACCAAGCTCATGGCCTGCTCTGCAACTAGGACATCATGTAAGTTAGCATGCAATAGGCAATGCTGTTCTGTACCTCAGTTGAGGTGGGGAGTATAGTTCACAATCACATATTATGTGCTGCATATAAAATACAGCAGAGCTATATGCATTGAAAGATTTCACTAAACCCATAGAAAGGTCTAAGTGTTACAACTTCATCCAATTTTTTTTTTAAAACAAAAGAAAAAACAAAAACTTGTCTTTTCCCATGTGGGGATGGTGAGACCCTTTAACTGATGGGTCCTCTGGCTTGTCCACGCTGTAAAAGAACCAGAACTTTCTGTCAGGGTGAAAAGGAAAGTTCTCAAAGACCACAGGAGTACTGAGCCTGCCTCTCACCTGTGTGGTAGCCGTTGTCTGAGGTATAAAAGATGTAGGTATTGTTGAGCTCGCCAGTGAACTCCAGTCTCTTAATCAGCTTCTCTACAAGGTCATCAACTGAAAGCAGAGTCTGCCACCTGGACATGAGCAGAGGGTGCAAACAGGACTTTAGGGACAATGGCCAAAGTGGCACCATCTTGCAAAACAGGAAAAACAAAGGCCCTCCCCTCCCAATTAAAAATAATCTGTAAACTTCACTCTCCTCAAATGCTCAAATGTTTCCCAGACTTCCTCATTGCAAAAAAACAGATGAGGAAATTTAATTTAATTAATATGTGTAATTATATATAATATAAAAAGTTAACTATTTCCAAAGAAATGAACCAAGCAGGAAAGTTGCTGTGCTGTATCAGGTAAAGCCACTCCTTGCAGTACCAACATCCCATATGGGTACTAGTTCAAGTTTCAGTTGCTCCAGTTCCAATCCAGCTCTCCGCTAATATGCTTGGGAAAGCAATGGAAGATGACCTAAGTACTACATGGGAAACCCAGAAGAAGCTCCTGGCTCTTGGCTGAAACCAGCCCAGTTCTGGCCACTGTGGCCACCAGAGAAGTGAACCAGCAGATGGAAGATCTGTGTAATTCTATCTTTCAAATAAAATAAATATTAAATGAAGCAGACTTTTTATAACCAATTAGTTCAATCATTTTACTGCCCTTACCTGGTAAGGGAGAATAACCAGAAGGGAGAGTTAAGCTAATACTGTTACAAATGCTAATTATTTCAGATAGATAGATCTATGCTACAACATTTAAAATTAAGTCTGAACTAGGAGTCTGAAGCAGGTATTTGGCCTAGTGGTGAAGACAGCTGTGTTCTGCCCAAGTGTCTGAGTTTGATACCCAACCCCGCCTCTGACTCCAACTTAACTGCTAACAGACTCCAGCAGCAGAAACAACAGCTGAAGTGACTACATTCTTGTTGCTCTCATGGGAAACCTGGATCGAGTTCCTGGCTCTCAGTCTGCTGGCCTCTGCTCTAAATGATGTATTCGCTAAGTAATGGATTTTTAGGAACTGACTTAAAGCAGTTTTTTGCAAAGGCAAATATTTCCCTCTAAAGCCTCTGGTTTTTTGTCCAATACTTTGGCAAACACACTTTTCTTTAAATATAGGTTAAAAAAAAATTCTGCCAAATAGTTAACATTTACATTACTCTTCTATCAAGTCTCAAGAAAGGATACTTTAACTGGTCCTGCTTAAGTTCCAGCAAAGCCTCCCTCTCACTGACGGGTGTCTCGTCGTTATGTCAGATGACAACGAGTGCAGGCCCCGGCTCCTGGCTTGATCAGGAGGGTCCTCAAACACGCAGAGTGCAACAGCAGCAGATCTTACCTTTTCCTAAAAGCATTATCTAAAAACTGTATTGAAGAATTAGTCATTGGCGTCTTGGCTTGTCTAATTAACCAGTGCTTGTTCTAAAATTTAAGAGAAAAGAAAAATGTTAACACCAAGTCTTTGTAGTCAAATGAAACTACAGGATTACTAGGACAAAGGAGGCCCTGCTGGCCCAGTTCAGTCCCCAGAGATACATCTTGGGCACTGCCAGGAGGGGGGAACACCAATAAGGAGGCAATCAGGAAAGCTTGGGGGACACTCCTGCTCTTGGGAATGACAGCAGGTCTTTACTATTCCCTCTGGAGGTGTGGCCAGATGGCGCTACTTATGAAGCCAAGTTTACAGTTACACTAAGGACAGGTGCAATTTACCCTGCAAGACTGCGAAGAACAACCCAGAAAGTGGCTCAAAGGCTTCCTGACAAATAGCTTTACTCAGTTTGGCTTAACATAATGTATTTTTCAGTGGGGGGAGGGCGTGTGCTACCGTTCCATGGATGTTGAAGTTCTTGTTTCTTGGGGCAAGGACATTTTGGAAGGCCTTCTGGTACTGAGGTGCAGCTGTCCATGGTGAATGGGGTGCTGGAGTGGAGATCATCATGAAGAACGGCTCGGAGTTGGACTTGTAGTCCAGGAAGTCCAAGGAGACATTGGCCTGACACAAAGAAAGAACCCAATGGCTGAGTGCTTAGTACATAGATTTCCTCCGGTGAGCAGAGGGTACAGGGTTATGCTGACTTTTAGCCTCTTCAGCACATGATCTTAAGTCACAGACAGGTACAAGCATACTGTTAACACATACCTTTGATGATTTAAGGCAATAAATTTTTGAAATGCATACCACTGTAAAGAGTGATAAAAATCTTCATGATTTTTCTAACACATAGAAATTGTTAGGCTTCCAACAAGGAACCAATGAGTCATCTGGCCTTTGTACTATTAATGTACATAAATTCATCTTAGAGTATGCAGTCATGTACTGCAGAACAAATTTTTATTCTGATGAGCCATGTATGGCAGTGGTCCCAAAAGAAAATGAAGCTGAACAATTCCTGTTGACTAAAAACACAAAACATTACTATATTTGTGGGCATGATAGCGGAAACCTATTTTACTGCCAATTGTATACAAGTATAGCAAAAGCAATTATATGCAGTACCACAATATTTGGTAATAAATGACTAGGTTGCAGGTTTGTGTATACAATTTATCATTATTTAAAATTTTAATTTTACTTCCATCTACTTGAAAGGTAAATTATCAGAGAAGGGGACAGAAAAAGAAAGAGAGAAAGATGTTTTAACTACAGGTTCATTTCCCAAATGCCCACCCAACAGCCAGGGCTAGGCCAGGTCAAAGCCAGGAGCCACAACTCCATCCTGGTCCAGTATAGCAGTTGCACAGTTACAAGAACTTGAGCCATCAACTACTGCCCCTGGGTACAATACATAAAGCTGAACTGGAAAAAGAGCTGAGAACTCAAACCATGTGGGCATCCTAAACAATGGACCAACTCACAGTGCCACAATGTGCTCTTATTAGTTTAGAATTGTACTCTTTCTCATATCATCCATATCTGTCTATATAGACACATAAACTACACTGAAAAACGTGCGTTACACTGGCAGTAGCCTCCTTCAGCATTTACTGCGTCACAGCAGCTACTCCCAAGACTGCATCGCGATCTGTGGAAGTACGTTGTGATGTTTGCACAATGATAAAATCACCTGACAACACACTGCTCAGGACACATCTGCACTGTTACGGGATGCATGACTGCACATTTGATGGCTTAAAGTATATAGAGTCAACATAATTCAGAACAGAGGAAAAAGTGAATTAAGTTGCCTTACCCTTTACGAAAATAGAGCAGATGACATGAATTATGCCAACTGAAATAGCTGAGCTAAATGAATATTAAGTCCAAATTTATATGGACTTATATATTTTATTTGCTAAGAGCTACTTTTATGAAAATGAAAAGCACCTCACATAAATGCTTTTTCATTGTTTTAGCTGGTTTAGATCTGCACTATTCCCAACGTTAATTCATAAGACCTTGACTTTCCCCACCCACCCCTGCCAAGATTTTATTTTACTTGTCTGAAAGGCAGAGTTACAGGGATGGCAACAGACAAGACATCTTAAATGGTTGCAGCTAGGTCAGGCTGAAGCTGGGAGCCTGGTACTCAACTCAGGTCTTTCATGTAGTTGGCAAGAGGCCATCTTTTGTTCTTCCCCAACCACACTGTAGGAAACTGGATCAGAAGTAGAGTAACTAGAATGTGAATTGGTGTTAGAAGGGATGTCAGTGCCGCAGGTGGCTTAATGCACTGTGCCACAACATGGGCACTGACTGTTTCTTATCAGCAACTCACCTTGCTCTAGTCTTGACAGCTTCCTCATAACTTTTCCCATATGCCAGGCGGCAGGGCCCTCATGCTGCCTGTGGCATCCTTTCCTCTGATCTGTACAGTTCATACTCACCTCCTTTGGGTTTCTGCTTAAATGTTACTTTAGTAATAACCAAGTAAGCAGCACATGCTGTCTTATTTCTTTAAATGACTGTCATCTAGTGATGCACATGCACATATGTACATACCCGTATGCACCAGTTATAAAATCCCATGCGAGCAGAAAGTTACCTTCCACAGAAGCCGACTTGGCTTCATTTACTTCATTAGTATTTAATATTTATCTACTTATTTGCAAGGCCGAGTTTGAGAGGTACATATCTTCCATCTGCTGGCTCACTCCCCAGTAGCTGCAAGTCAGCACAGGGTAAGGCAGAATCCAGCAGCTTTTTTGCGTGCAGGAGTCCCAGCATATGGTCCATCTTCCTCTGCTTTCCCAGGCCACTCACAGAGAGCTCAACCAGAAGCAGAGCAGCCAGGACACAAAGTCAGAACTCATCCAGGCTGTCAGCATTCCAGGCGACAGCTTTACCCACTATGCTGCAATGCCAGGCTTATGTACTACATTAACTGCTGAACTACTTGGTGAAGTAATGTGTTCTAGAAGGTTGCCATTAGAATGTCTCAGGGATGGGTGTTTGATGCAGCAGTTCAGTTTACACCCGGCATGCTCAAATCCAGTTTGACTGCCTGGGATTTAGTCCCAGCCTTGCCTGCAATCTCAGCTTCCCATTATGTGCACCCTGCAAGGATATGGGTTCTTGAGTTTTTTAAATATTTTTATTGGAAAGGCAAATTTACAGAGAGAAGAAGGAGAAACAGAGAAACATCTTCCACCCACTGGACCACTCTTCACAATGGCTGGAGCTGAGCTGATCAGAAGCCAAGAGCCTCTTTTGGTCTTGGGCCAACCTCCACTGCCCTACCAAGTCACAAAGCAAGGAGTTGGATCGGAAGCAGAACAATCGGCATATGAACCAGCGCCCACATGGGATGCTGCTGCCTATAGGCTTAGGACTCGTCAGCTGAAACATCCAAGCTCTTGAATCTTTACCACTCGTGTGAGAGACAGAAATTGAATTCTAGGCTCTAGGCTTTGGACTGGCCCAATTCTAGCTTTTGTAGGCATTTGGGGAATGAACCAACAGATAAAAGATTTCTGTAGGTCTCTCTCTGCCTTTCAAAAAATATATATATACAAAGAAAATACCAAATTCGCCCCAATTCCAGCAATTTTTATATATAAATACATAGTACCCAAAGAAATTTCATATTCCCATCCCCCAGTCTCCTAAAGCCTGTGGAACTGTCATCTTACAACTTGTGGATAAAACTGACATCGAAAATACAAAGTCAAACCTCTCCCAAGTAATCTCCAGGGTCTTAAAGAGATTAACCTTTGGAGGAGAGATTTGTTGCTGGAATTTCAAGAGCATCAGACCTAAGCCTGGTTTATATACAACAATAACACCCTCAGGAGTTAATCAGCTGGAAAGTCTTTTCAGCAGTTAGAACAAGCTTTTATGCATTATGTTACCCAATACAAGCAAGTAAGACTAAAGGTTTTCTAGGTAGAGCCTGCCTTCAAACAGGACCCAGCCTTGCAAAGACAGAGCCACAGGGCTCCAGCCACTCACCAGCACGTCTGTGAGGTAGTCTGTGCTGTAGTTCTCACCATGCTTCCGTGCCTTCCCGTTGATAGACAGGGTATAATTGTAGTATTTAGAGTTCTTTTCCTATTAAGACAAGGAAAATAAAACTTGCCATGAAGTCAGCACACAGAAGGAATGAATCCACACTGACTAAACTGTCTCAGCAGTACCAAGACATAAAACGGTAATTACTCAAGTTTATACTGGACTTTTTTGCTGGGCTTTTACTGAAGTCCAGCATGGTTTCAATAATATGTCCTATTGTAAAAGCCAGAAGTGCATTGGGCAGATCAGAAAATTACACTGCTGAAACTTGTGTGATGCAAGAAACAGACCAGAAGGGAGTGACTCACAAGTCAACAGACTTTCTTTCAAGGAGGGCAATAGCTCATCACAAAGCAAACTGAACTGTGTCAATAGCAGACTTAGTGAGGGTGAACGTGTTGTGTTTGCTCCTTAGCGTTGGAGAGAATTGTCCCTGTTTCAAAGGTGACTCACCAGAGCGTACCAGTAACTCCAGCCCAGAGGAACGTGTTCCAGTCCACCTGCATCAGGGGCTCCGTACTGAAAAGCAAGACCAGGACGATGTTACAAACCACAGACAGGGCCAGGCCAGGAAGAAATAGGAAACTAACAACAATCTTTCCAGACCACTGCCTGACACACATTTAGGTGCTCAATCACCCCAAATACAGCAACTAATGAAAATGTTAAAGAACTCTATAATCCTAGAAACTTCCACAGCAAGAGCTGGCAAATTAAAATGCGGGGGCCAATGTGTCCTGCCAAATGTTGGTAGAGCCAGCAAGATAAGAGCTGTTTGTTGCTGCTTTAAGGTACTTAAAAACACAAAAGCCAAGAAATATATGAGTTACATGAAACTCAAATTTCAGTGACAATAGTTTTATTGGAATATACATTCATTGACACAGTATCAATGTTACTTTCATGCAGCAATGGCACGGCAGAACAACAGAGCATGTTCACTCTGTCCTACTACTGACGGAGTCGGAGTCTGTGGGCCTGGCCCACATGGCCCACACATGGGCTGCTGGCTGGGCTTTTGGGGCAGACTGAACAGTCCACACAACCTTGTGGTTAAACACAGCCAAAGCAGGCTGACTATGAGCCAGCAGTTTATTACTTCAGTTTTTCTGAAGTTTCAGAGTTCATTTTTATTTCGTAAGAGAATGATTTTATTTGCTTTTTCTTTACAAGGTTTACAACTGCACATTTAAGACAGACTCTAATGCCTAAGAACTAAGTATCTTGTCCTTTAAGGATTTCTCTTACTTTCAGACATACAAAAGATGACTTTCAATATGCAAAGCAGTCTAAGTTTTCTGTATGGCTCTCAGCCTCACCAAGTAACTTAAGTCTTTACACTTCCTGATTCTCACAACTCTTTCCAAAATGACTCACCTTCCTCAAACACACAAGACTGCAGACTCCCCCCAATCAGGGAGAATTAATGGGAAATTCAGAGAACTATTAAGCTCTTTCTCAGACAACCACAAATAGCTCATAAAAAAATGCACACCTTTTTGTTGTGCATTCAGTTTTACAATAACAGTTAATCTCAAGCACACTATTTCCTTCAAATTTGGACTTGGTCCTTGGGGCCATGAAACCTGGCCTTGACAGGGCTTACGCAGTTATTCCTCTGCTATGGTCTGAACACGAGTTGGCTCCTAACTCAGGCAGGACCTCAAGTGAGCAGCATTCAGAAAGCTGAACTTCATCCAGTTTTGCTGTTTAGAAGGCGGGCCTCCTGCTGGGAAGTCCTTGAGTTCCTGGGAGCACACTCTCAGGAAGCAGTTCTTCCCAGTGGGCTGGATGTAAAGTGCAGCTGCCACTCTCTCTGCTTTCCATTCTTCTGCAAATTCTCCAACATATCAGAAGCCAAACCAACAGAGCTTGTCTCACCTTGGACTGCGACCCCCAACAATCATGACCCATAAAAAATCTTTCCTTCATAATTACCTTGCCTCAGGTATTTCTTGTATTATGAAAAGCTGCCTAATAACACCCTTCCTCCAGGCCTATGAGACCAGCTCACCAGCTGTATGACCACAGACCTTGGCCCAAGTGCACTAGGCTCTGGGTGCTTGGCCTTCTCACAATCTCTTAGCAGCTTGTACTCAATTTTCAGTGGAAAACAAAAGCATTCGAGGCAATTCTAACAAATCTGGGGGTCCAATGCAATGGCTCAATGGCTGAAGCCTCACTGCAAGTGCCAGCATACCATAAGGGCATCAGTTTGTATACTGGCTGCTCCACATTCCATCTAGCTCCCTGTTCATGCCCTGGGAGAGCAGCAGAGGATGCCTCAAAACCTTGATACCCTGCACCTGTGTGGGAGACCCAGAAGTTCCTGGTTCCTGGCTTTGGATCGGCTCAACTCCAGCCATTGCTGCCATTTGGGGAGTGAACCAGTGGATGGAAGTTCTTTCTGTCCTTCTCTCCTTGAATCTGATTTGCCTTTCATAAAAATAAATAAGTCTTGAAGAAATCTGAAAAAAAAGATTCTAAAAGGGGGAAAAAATCCTTCCCTCAGACCCAGATAAAGGGGAAATGGAAAGCAAGCTCCCAGGACAGCCACATGACAAGCCGACTTCCTGAGGAAGAAAACCAAGATGCAGCTGACAGCAGCAATTTCAAAATAATGTTTAAACAAATATGTCCCTGGGCCTACTTAAAAGGAAGGGCAATCACTGTACCCCAAGTCATGTAAACATAATCAGTTAAATTAGTTCTTATTTATTGGCTGGCAGACCAAGAGAAAACATAGACCAGAATCTCTTTACCATGATCTGAACAGAGGGCAAGGAAATGAAAATGTACATTATTTCAAGCCACAAAAGCTGCTATGAGGGGTGGAAAAAGACCATTTAACATACCTCATTCAAGTATTTCCCTGCAAAAAAGGTCTGATAGCCACACATGGACCTGAGAATTGCTGGGAATGTGTGTGGTTCTTGGATCTTCTGCCAGGATGTACTACTGCAGTTCCCCTCCAACGTGTTGTTAACAACGTGATGATTGTGCGGGTACTTCCCCGTCAGGATGCTGGCCCTGCTGGGGCAGCAGAGAGCACTTGGCACATACTGCAAAGGGAAGCACAAACAAGGTTACACACGAAGATGCGTTTCTTATTTCCAAACAGGATGAGGCAAGCTGCTCAACACTCCAAATTTTTCATTTCTCAATAGAATAACGATTTTGTTCATACATGACATCCTGAATCAGCTGTGCTTACATGAAACGGCTCATTCCTGTGCTTTGCTCACGCACTCCCTGCCACTGGCCGGTTCTAACAAAACATTGAAGGAAGGACTCGGTCATGTTACAAATGCTTCCCAATTTCGTTTTCTGCCTCTTAATGATATTATGTTTGACTTCTGCAATTTTTACATTAGCAATTCTGAACTCTTTTGCTCTATTTTCTGACCTATTTTATGGCCAGTGTTATACCATTTGTGGTAGGGAAATGTCTTCCTTAAACAATATTGCCTTTATTTTTTCTCATATTTATTATTCCAGATAATTTTTAGAATTACATCTGAGTAAAGAATATATTGTTGAGATCCTAATTGTCTTCCCCACCCACCCAAAAAAAGATGTGTGTATGTTTGTACCTAGTGCTTTTATCATTCACCAGGTTCTGTAAATTTATTTCAGTCTTAAACATTTCTGGTCACTATTAATTTGTATTAGTTTGTATTGTATTACTTTGTATTTATTATGAATAGACTCTTTACCTTCCCTTTTAAATCTGTTTACATAAAGCTCATTTTAAACTTCTAAATTTTGACTTTAATGAATTTAGTTTTCCAACAATTCTCCTGTATTTTTTTAAGTTAGAAAAAAAAAATCAGAAAAAGTAGAAATAACACTTTCCCTTGCCCAATTACTTTCATTAAGCTCACAGTAATGGCCACAGAGCCTAAAGTTACGATTTAAGACATTAAGCCTTCTCTCAACCCTAACAATAATGTCTTGAGTGCTCTATCTTGAGGAGAATGTGAGCCATTAATCTGAAATATTTATCATTTGAAAGGATGCAGTCTTCAAACGGTTAGTAAATGATCAGAATGAATGTTAAAATTTCCAAACTTTCAAGCATCCACTGAGCTAAACATTTCAACCACGGACATCATAGTAAGTATTACAATAACACCACGCAAAACTTTTTACAAGTCGCACACTGACCAAAGAGCTTTCCATGTATTAACTCATTTCACCTCACAACAATCTAGCAGATATTTTAAGACTTCCATTTATAAATGGAGAAACCAAGGGCTAGACTCTGAACAACTAGCCCAAGGTTACACAGCTAAAAATGTGAACAGTGTTCTGTCTCGCCCTGTCTCTCCGTAACTCTGAATGTCAAGTAAAAATAATTCAATCTTAAAAACAAAAGTCAATACAAGTGTGGTGGGGGGTGGTGGCAGTACAAGGCATAGTAGGGTAGGCCTGCAGTGCTGGCATCCCACATGGGTGTTGGTTTCTGTGCCAAGTAGCTGCTCTACTTCCAATCTAGCTCCCAGCTAATGGCCTGGGAAAGCAGTGGAGAATGGCCCAAGTCCTTGGGCCCCTGCACCCATGTGGGGGACCTGGAAAAATTTCCTGCTTTTGGACCAGCCTAGCTCCACCACCTTGTAGTCATTTGAGAGTGAACTAGCTAATAGAAGCTCTCGCCTCTGTAATTCCGACTATCCAATAAAAGAAATCTTAAAAAAGAGAGAAGCCAAAAGTGGGCAGCATGATCCGAGTCTGCTCTTACACATATTGCCACACTGATGTCCAGCAGATGTCATGACATGAGTTACCCATTCATTCCTGGGCTACTACATACTTGTTTACAAGCCATATTGATCAACTTTGAGTTGCTACTATTTTGTTTTTGGACCTCGGCAACCATGGTTTTCTATATTATGCATTATATATGTAAGTGATTACATATGTTATATACAACATCGTCTGTCAGATATGGTAATGAGGACTAACTGGGTTTTGCATGGAAAAACTTACATAGAACAAACATTACTCATTTCTTACAATCCATTTTCAAACCTCAAACACTGAATTGTTAAAACTCTATAGCTCCGATTTGTGCAAAAATGGCTTAGAAAATACCTGCTGTTAACCTAAATTGGCAACAATATTTCAAATATAAGGTTTATGAGCATTGGGCCCGGCACAGTGGCGCAAGTGGTTAAAGGTCCTCGCCTTGCACGCCCGGGATCCCATATGGGTACCGGTTCTAATCCCGGCAGCCCCACTTCCCTTCCAGCTCCCTGCCTGTGGCCCGGGAAAGCAGCAGAGGACAGCCCAAAGCTTTGGGACCCTGCACCCGCGTGGGAGACCCGGAGGAAGTTCCTGGCTCCTGGGTTCGGATCGGCATAGCACCAGCTGTTGTGGTCCCTTGGGGAGTGAAACATAGGATGAAAGATCTTCCTCTCTGTCTCTCCTCTCTGTATATCCGCCTTTCCAATAAAAAAATGATAAAAATAAATCTTTTAAAAAAAGATTTATGAGCATATGTAAAGTCATTCCTTCAGATCAGGTAGGTAATTAGGAAAACTCACAAAGATCACATTAGATAACCAAGAAGAGTGTTATTTTCCCCTTTAGGATACAAGTATAATTTAAGTCTAACGAAATTAAAAGAGGTTCAAAACTCACAGCACTGGAGAAAGTCATCCCCATCTCTGCGATGAGAGCCTTGGTTTTCTTCAGTGGAGTCTGTAAAGTAAGCAATTTCAGTCAAACAGCTATTTCTGCTGATAAACTGAAACACATGGAACACAATTCATGTTTTGTTACATCTTACGCAATCTCTTCTTCCGGAAGGATGGCTCTGTCAACAGCCAGGCCAGTCCTGTGTGATCCTGGAGATGAACCACACAGGCTTGGTGCCAGCAACTGTCTACTGTGCAAAGGTGCTGGGGTCAGAACGCAGTCAGGCAGGCAGGCAGGGACCCTTCACAGCTGTTGGCTCCATTCCAGCCATGCAACTGGAATGAAATGCTGGTGCTCTCTGCTTGTTAGCCGCCAGTTCAGTTGTGAGATGCAGAGGAAGACCTAGCTCCATAAATTCATCTTTGGAACTAGGCTATGTGATATGGTGTGAAAGGCACCCTTCACCCTTTCTAAGAATGGGGACAACACTGGGATCCAGAAAGCTGGACAGGATCCTCAGAGAGAGTAATTCAAATCTCAGACACTCACAGTGCAGGAGCCCATACACAGTTCAGCTATGAGCTCACTGCCCTTGCACCAACCCTGTCACCACCACCAGGGACAGCCCTGAACCAGGCAGCAAGCAGGTATGCACAGAATCCTGTAATCCTATCAGACAAAAGGCTACATGAAACTATTTTGTTTACATCCTTTTATTCTTGGTTAAAACCCAAGATCCTGACAAGTGCAGAGAACAAGTGATTAGATCCTAGAGTATGAATAAAAGGACCATTTATGTAAAACTTTTAGAGCAAATCCACCAAGTGAAGAGGACAAAGTTAGTTGTAATACATTCAGTTCATAATATCTGAAATAATGTCAACACTCAAATCCATCTTGAATGAAGTTTTTAAAAGAAATATTTCAAAAACAGGGCCCGGCGGCGTGGCCTAGCAGCTAAAGTCCTCGCCTTGAACGTGCCGGGACCCCATATGGGTGCCGGTTCTAATCCCGGCAGCTCCACTTCCCATCCAGCTCCCTGCTTGAGGCTTGGGAAAGCAGTCGAGGATGGCCCAAAGCCTTGGGACCCTGCACTTGTGTGGGATACCCGGAAGAAGTTCCTGGATCCTGGCTTCAGATCGGCATAGCATCGCTGTTGTGCTCACTTGGGGAGTGAATCATTGGATGGAAGATCTTCCTCTCTGTCTCTCCTCCTCTCTGTATATCTGACTTTCCAATAAAATAAATAAATCTTTTTTTTTAAAAAGAGAAATATTTCAAAAACAAATAGAGAAAGAGCGCAAGCACACACACACACGTTCTTCCACCTGCAGATCCGTTCCCCATGTGCCAGCAACAGCCAGGGCTGGCTCACACATTCAGAACTAAACCTGAGTCTACTGCACAAGTGGCAGGGACCCAAATACTTAAGCCATCATTTTCTGCTTCCCAGGGAAAACTTTAGTAGGGAGCTGGATTGGACACACAAGAGCCGGAGCCTGATCTGGGATGTGGGTATCCCAGAGGCATGTTCTCTGCCACACCAAAAGCTCCAGAATGCAACTTAAAGTGTATTTTCTTGGGTGATAAATCCTTAAGAATAATTCAGATATCTAACTAGGCTAACAAGAGATTTTTCCTCCACTGTTTTATAGAGACAGAAGACTGAAGGAATCCATTAGCACAACAGGATGAGAATTCTGACTTCTCTAAGCAAAGCTTTCATCATTTCCTGATCAGATCCTCACCAGGGTCCCAGGAAGTGCTAGCTTTCAGGAGCAATGTCACGGGCTCTCCTCAGAATGTCACTGGGTGCTCAGCTTGGGAAAACAGCACTTGGCTGAGTGAAAAACACTGGGTGGACAAAGAGGGAGGGAAAACCAGAATGATATTCAAGTGGGGAAAAAACTATATGGGACTTAATCAAATGGATAAATATGCAACACTATTGAAGACTGTCTGATTTACAGTAAAGCTATACTGCATCTTTGTAACATGATTATTAAATACTTAATGTGCACCAGGCATCAATCTAGGCAGTTGCAGACAGACAGAAGGTCCCTTCATGAGCCTTGTACGCTCAGAGGTGTCAATAAGAGGTAAACAGGAAAGTAATCATTTTAGGTAGTGGCAAATGCTGTGAAGGGAATAAATCAAGCTGATATGATTGCAGCTGGCAGGAAGACAGCTGGAGAACTACTTTAGATGAGTGATTAGAAAAGGCATCTTAGGAAGAAAATCCAGGGCTGGGAGCCATGCAAAGAGGAGTTGATCATGCAAAGATCAGGGAAGAATGCTGTGGGCTGAAGGAAAAGCAAGGCCAAAGGCTGCCAGTGCAGAGCAAGAAGGGCAGTGCAGTAGAAGCAGTTTAGGAAGTAACAGGGAGAGAAGGGAATGACAAGGTCTAAGACCGGCAGCGGCCAAATGCAGGGCTGCACAGGAATTTTGAATTTAAGTAAGAAACTTAACAGCCAAGATATTTATGTTGTTAATGTTAGTAATACAATCTGTAGACAATTATAAGCTGTGATTAAGAAATCTCAAAAAGAAAAATCATACTGTGCTGAAACCATGTGTATATCCCTCCAGTCCAAATTTAAAATGGATCCTTAAGATGCAACCAAAGACAAACTCGTAAGGTTAAAGTCACACAATAGTCTTTAAGCAGCAGCCAGAGGCCAACAGGTTGAGCCCCTGCTTGCAATGCCAGTATTCCACATCTGAGTCCTGGCTGCTCCTCTCCCAATCCAGTTCCCTGCTCACATGTCTAGGAGGGCACTGGAGGTACTGCTGCTACCCCTGGGCAAAACCTGGATGGAGGTTCAGGCTCCTGGCTTCAGACTGACCAACACTGAACCAGAGGACAGAGGCTGCACTCTTCATTATCTATTTGAAAGGCAATTTTTAAAACCTGTAAATATGTATATTAAAGACAGCAACCAATGTTACTCTCTCATGAGAGCAAAGGTTTTACTTGCTCCAAGACTTTCCCCCAAAACCCCAAGGAGAAACTTACTTTCTTGGGATCATGGACAGCTGCTTTGAAATCGTTTTAATAATGTTGATTGGGGCTGGTTTAATGGTATAGTGAGCTAATCCTCCACTATGGCACTGGCATCTCATGTGGGCATCGATTCAAGTCCTGTCTGCTCCATTTCCCATCCAGTTCCCTGCTTATGGCCGGGAAAGCAGCAAAGGTTGGCCCAAGTGCTTGGGCCCCTCTACTCACTTGGGAGACCCAGAAGAAGCTTCTGGCTCCCAGCTTCAGAACAGCTGAACCCTGGCTGTTGCAGCTATTTGGGGAATGAACCAGTGAACGGAAGACTTTTTATATTTCTTCTCTTTTTATAAAAATCTACCTTTAAAAAGAAAAGCTGGAAAAAAAAAGCTGATCATTCCCCGGCTCCCTTTTTAACAGTAGGAAGCACTTGCTGTAAGCACAGCAGCGGAGGGAGTTATTGATTCTTCCCCTATCATTTCATCATGTTTCCTTCCCTTACTTCAAGTTTTGATTCTACATAGTGACTGATTTTTAAAAGAACAACCTGTGAAGCACCTTAATGATGCTCAAGTGAAAACCATAAATAAGAACAGGTCTATGGGCAAGAAAGTAAAAATGGAGTCATCGCAGATACTACCCAGAACACACACAGGGAAAGCCTGAAGACAATGCTCTCACATACAAGACTGTCGCAAAGACTGACAAATTCTACATTAAGCCAAAATTACCCATGTGCTGTAAATCCTTTGATGTGAGTCAGTGTGGAGGAGTTGATTACCGCTGATCTTTCCTATTAGGCAGCAATGTGTAACACTTTCTGAATCAGAACTCCATTTCACAAGATATTTCATGCAAGTGCTCCAAAAATTCATAGGAAATGCACATTATAAAATAACTACATGGATTTAAAAAATGTTTTATGCCAAAATAAATTCAACCTTTAATTCACATTTTCCTGCCAACTTTTTAAGGAGCTGGCTCCACTGTCATTGCTACCATCATGTTAGCCCAGGAACAGGGGGAAAAGCCTGGTGCCCTGGGGTCAAAGATCACCCAAGCTTTGCCCCTTGAGAGCCATGTGAACCTTGGTCAAGTTACTTAACCACCTTCCAAACAGCAGAGGACACTCCCGCATCAACAGAAGTACAAGTCAAGAACACCTGACACTCGGCTGGCTCCAAGCAAATTCTTAGCTTTCCCCTTCCAGGAGTGGTTTGACAATTAGGGTAGAATATTCTGAAAAAAAAAAAACTACGAGAAGTTGGAATACTTCACAGAGCTGAAAGCATTAATTTTAACCTGTTTCTTCCATTCAATTTTATTAACTCTCTCCAGCATAAATATATATATAAAAAAGTCTACTACTGGTAAAGCAGGGAGTAGGATTAACATACAAAGAGAACACCTCAGATGGCGGCGATCTAGGACTGAAGAACCCGAATTCGGGCACGTCTGATACTCATCTGTTAATTTTGAACAGAAGTATCAAAACTTGACCTTTTCAGTCAACACATTAGTCCCTGGTCTAGGTGGCTTACTTTTTCCGGACAAAACATTCTTTAAGAATACAAAGTTTGTGAAGAGGAAGGTAACTGCAAAAGGTGTGGAAACCAAAGTGAAATTCAAGAGGGAAATGAAACCGAAGCTATAAGGTAAGGGAGGGAACGTGGGAGAAGAGCGGAGTGGAAATACATTTAAACACCAACTAGAAAAGCTGTTCATGCTTTCTGAGCAAGAAATTCACTGCACTTTGCAATCCAGAAGGGGGTACTTCACACAGTTCAAGGAAAAATATCCCAATAATAGAAATAGCTCACATGGAATTCAAGGTTTATTTTGGTGCTTTGAAATTCAGGCATACGGGCATACATTTACATCTGCTGACCCTTACCACATATAGCACACACGGAGTTTCCATTCTACGCTGCTCCAGACGGAAACAAAAACGTTGGTAGCTACCCACCAAGCTGACTTCACATCCCCATGGCTGCTGGGACCAGAAGTTAAAGAGCACCGAGCCAGGCACCTCTAGCCTGGAGAGCTACTACTTCCAGCATATAGCAAAAAACAAAAAAGAGAACTGAAAAACCTGAAGCAAGAAGGCAAAAGGGAAAAGAAAAAAGTTTTTAAGGAGAGGAATGCTGGGCCAAGTCCAAGTCGGGGTTTTGTCTCCACTGTGTCGTGAGGCGAGAGCTGACAAATATGCCCTAAGCATATTCGTCCCATTGATGAGTAGGATGGGGGGAGGGGGGTTGGGGGAAATGAACGTTCCCAAAAGTCAGAAACTGCATAACATCTAAGATACAGAAGCAAAATTGATCCTGCAAATGAAATCGGAGGACAACACGCATTAGATAGAGAACAGAACACTGACAGTATCAGATGCACCAGCCAGGCGTTAAATTAGACTGAATTCTCTTGATTTTATGAGGCAAACCGCACTCAGCAGTCGGACAGCTTATCTACCACGTTACTTCATGCCAGCGATTATGTGGGTATCAGAAACAGACACGAGGGGGCCTGGGTGTCTCAGCAAGTGGCTAGGCTTGTGCTCCGACACTAACCCAGGGGAGACACCAGCAGCGCTGCCGTGCCTTCGGCCAGCACCTGCTCCTCTCCGGTCTAACCCCTCCTCAGCTGGCGTCCACACGTGCATCGTGAGACACGAACGCAAACTCCGCAGCACGACGGTCCAGGCTGCACGGTGTACAACAAAGTCCTGCGTGAAGGGCCTGGAGTGGCAAAACCAAACCTACCCAGGGTCAAGGCAGCCAGTCCCGGGCGAGGGAGGGCGGAGACGCGGGGAAAAGAGAGCAAGAAGCCAGGGAGTCAGCCGGGGAGATGGAGGGGCGGGGCAGAAACGGAAGAGTTACCATGCCGCCGAGCACTTCGTCCTGGTCGTCGGTGAGGAGCAGCACCACGTTGGGCCTCCGAGAGCCAGTCGTCCGCCCGGAGACCTGCAAGCAGCTGCCCAGCAGCAACAGCAGCAGGAGCAGCAGGCACAGAGCACGGCCGCAGCAAGGCAGGTGGCCGGGGCCGCCACGCCGGGGCCCACCTGGAGCCAGAGGCACGAGCCGCATGGCGGACAGGGCTCCGGGCAAACCCCGGGTCGGGGTGGAGGGACGCGCAGGGCAGCGAAGGGCGACAGGACAGAGTGCCGCACGGAGAACGGGTTGTGGCGAGAAGGCCGGGGGCCGGGGTCAGGCGTTTTCTCCCTGGGCGCGATCACGTGAGGCGAGGACAGGGGGCGGAGCGCCGCGCGGTCACCTGACTGGCGCTGGTGGGCGGGGCCGCGGGCGGGAGCCGGCCGGAGGGAAAATGCCGGACAGCGTAGAGGGGAAAGGGGGCGAGGACGCCGGGCGAACCCGGATGGCGCGCTGGCCCCGGGCTGAGGCTGCAGCTGCTTTCCGCCAGGACCTGTTTGTGAGCGCTTGGTAGAGAATAAAATGGAGGAGAGGGAAGCCGAGAGGCGGGGGGAGAGTGCAGAGGCTCACCGAGGAAGAGGATGGACTGCACCTGTAGGAGTCAGGTGGGGAAATCGATGCTCCAGGAGAGCGTATTCAGGCCCGCGTGCGGAGTCGTTTTTCGTTTTTCTTTGTAGTGTTTGGGCTTTAACCTGCTCATTCTACTTAACTATTAAACGTGGAACTGCATTTCAACTCAGCTCTCAAACTCAAAGCCTGATCGCTTTACCCTAATATTCCATGTTGAGTTTTTAAAAGCCTTCTTGGGCGATGATAAAGACGTTGAGCAAAAATGAAATCCTTGAAACATAGTCGCCAAACTACCTTTTTATAAGGGACGTTGAGCAGAAATCCAGGCTGGCATTGCCTTGTGCATAGTTAAGCTGTTGTATATCGATTCTAATTATGAAAGGAACATTAAAACTTTTAACTACTGGAAAATATTCAAGAGTTAAAATTTGTTTTTTTATTTTTTAAAAATTAAGCCACATTCAACACAACTTAATTGAATTCAGAATAAGATTTTTAAAATCTCAAAAAGGGGGGGGGGATTTTTGGTATTTTTCTTTACTGTGTGTGGGAAGCCATGCAGTTGGGACTGGTTGAGTGTGTGACTAGCACCACTCCTCGGTTAGCAAGGCTACGAGGAGTTTCTGGCTGTGTGACAAGGCCCAGCTGAATGTCTCTGGTCACTTCACTGCTGCCTCACCCATTGTATGGACACTCAGTCACCTCTCTGATGTTTCATAGAATTCTCCTGAGGGTGGTGGTGTTTTTCTGCACATGTGAAATGATTCCTGTAACATATAATGTCTCAAGCTGATCAATCACATTGTGGTAAAATGGTCTTTAGCAAATTAAGGCAATGACATACAGCGTAAAGCACACAATAGTTACAGTTGAGCCCACACCATCCCCAAACATCCTATTACATGCTCACCTTTGTCCTGGAATTTGCCCTAATGTAAGTAATGTTCTCCTTGAGAAATGGCTTGGTAATATCTTGGATACAAATGGCAGTTGTGGAGGTACGAATAGTTTGTTTACCACGCAGCCTCAAACTGCTGCACTGCGTGAAATGACGCACTTTGGCTTCCCACCACGTGGAGCAGAAAGTATATTGGATGTCTTCTAAGGGAAACAAAATATTGTGAGCCCTTACAAGGAAATGGTTTAAAACGTCTACCATTTCTTTAGGAAAAGAAAACAGTTTGTAAAAACTTCTACCTTATATTGGCACTTATGTTTAGGGAAAGAAAACAGTTTATAAAGATAGAAAAAAGTTTCCGGTAAAGGCCCTCTGTTTATAGAAAGGTTGAGTTGCCCTGATCCCTTTCACTGCCCTGTAACAAAAGAACAAAAACAATTGAAGCAGCACTAGGTGAAGGTGATGGTAATTAATCCATGATTGATTATAAGATTTAATAAAGAATCTATGATATATACCTTTATAAATTCCTTTCATTTATGAGCTTTCCTTCTAATTCTGTACTCTTGATATTTTAAGTAATATCAGTTTAGGTTTAGTGAAAATTGATTTTGAATATAAATAAACTGCTTGTCACTATGTAACCACATGTGCTGCCAACCATGGAGTTCCTGGCTTCAGCCAGATCACTGCAGGTTTGAATGAGTAATAGCTTGCTGAAAATATTTTTTCTGAAGTAAAATGATAATAATGTTTTTTAGGATTGATTTCTAATCATTCTTTTATAATGAAGTGAAAATGAAACAATTGGATTTTGTGCAAAAGTTTGTGATGATTTGTGTATAAATAAAGAAGGCAACTTTTCTGAGTTGTCCATTATGAGCATCATGCTGTAGTGGTCCACGTAACCTCCTCTTCTTGTCTTCTCATCAATCCATACATCCTTTTCAAGCTCTCGAGTCAGCCAGAACTGGTCTCCAGCAACTGTGGAAGAATTTTATTTCATTTTCAAAGACAGAGGAGAGCTTTGTGGGATATGTTATTTTGGGCAGAAAATTTTTCCCTTTTAGAACCTGGAATATATTACTCCATTCTCTTCTGGCCTGTAGTGCTTCTTCTGAGAGATCAGCTATCAGTTTGATTGGGTTTTCTGTATAGGTCACTTGATTTTTTTTCATGTGCATATTTAAGGCTTTCTTCCCCTATGTTCAACTTAAGAGAGCTTGATTATCATGTGTCATGGTGAAGTTCGCTTTTGATCAACTCTGTTGGGAGTTCTGTGACCCTCCTGTTAACTCTGAGGGTGGTAGAGGCTTTTGTTCCTTTGTGGAAGAGTTTGCAGTAACATTCATAGTGCCTCTGTCTCTTCTTTTAGCTTTTCACATTGCAGTTCTGGTTGGTGGATTCTCCTTAGTGCAAGTTTCTAAGGTGTAGTACCTACAGGTCTACAAGTCGATTTTTATGTTTAATCAGTGCCCTGCATTAGGAAGATGCCAGCTGTGTTAAATAACTGGTTTGTCAGCAACACTGATGTTACTGACATGTGCTGGCCATTTAGTCTGAATGCCACTTGGTGTTATTTTGGGTGGAGTCTGTAGAGTGCCATGATAGAGCTATTTTTTTTTTTCTGAGGAGCATGTGCAGTGCTCTAAGCTGGAAGTGATTTTGTTCCCAGCGTAGCTCTTGTATAACTCAGCTGTCCTCCCTTCAGTCTAACAGTGCCTGGTCCTGTAAAAATTGCATCTGAGCTCCACTGATTTAGTGCATGTGCAGTTTTCCACTATTCCTCCTGACCTCTGAGCCCTTGCCCCTCTGAGCAAGATGGTGCCTGGCAGGGCACCGACATAGATCGGGGGCTGTCGGCCATCAGATCCTGGGACCACACAGACCCTGCAGGATGCGAGGCTGGTGCTGCTTTCTCTGTGGGTTCAGCTCATTGCGATTAGCTGGAATCGAGCCCACTCCAAGCTGTCCCTTGAAATCCGCACTCTCTGCCCCACCATACATGATGGCGTCCAGCAGAGCACTGCTTGAGAAATGGGGCTGTTGGCTTTCAGATCCAGGGACCACACAGACCCTGCAGCATGGGCAGCTGACACTGCCCTCCCTGTGGGATCACTCAGTGTGATCAGCCAGAAATGAGCGCACTTTGAACCATCCCTTCAACTCTATGGTCTCTGACCTACCACACAAGACAGCACCCTATCTCTGTGCTGTGAATTCTTTCCTGCCATTGGTCTGCCCCCTGGAATCCGCCACTCTTTCTCCGCTTGTGCTGGGCCAAACTATGTAGCAGGATTGGCAGGTCTCAATCTGCATTCACCTCCTGGCTCCCCGCCTGAACCCAAGCTCCCATCTGGCTGCCCTAAGAGCCAGGCTGTGGTTGCTGCTGGATCCCTGGCTCTTGTTGGAGTCTGGATTGCTGCTCTCTGGCCTCTGGTGGGTTTTCTGTTCACTGCAATACTGCTCTGCCATCACTGCTACTTCCCTGTGTTCAGGGGGTGTCCAGGTACCCCCTGCAAACTGCCTGACTCCTATCTTTCTCTATAATCTCCTTGTGCTTCGCCCTGTCTAAAGATTCTCCATCATCTCAAACATGTCTATACCCTATTCTGCCATCTTGCCTCCTTCTTTAAGGAATTTATTTGAATGGCAGAGTTATGGAGCGAGCAGGAGAGACAGAGAATCATCCATCTGCTGGTTTACTCCCCAAATGGCCACAACAACCGAGTCAGAGCTGAGCTGAGCTGAGCTGAGCTGATCCAAAGCTGTGAGTCAGGAGCTTCGTCAGGGGCACCCATGTGGTGCAGGGACCCAAGGATTTGGGCCATTTTAGTGCTTTTCCCGCCATAAGCAGAGAGCTGGATTGGAAACGAAGCAGCTATGGCTTTTCCTCCTGAAGTCAAAGTTTTATTAGGACATGTCTGTCTCATGTTTGGTCTGGGTTCATTGTTCCTCTCTACTGGTTTACTGGTCCAAATGTTGTAAATACCCCACAGTGGCTAAAGCTAACAGCTAGGAATGGCAATCAAGGTCTCCTATATGGGTGGGAGGAACCGGATCACTTGAGCTATTCCCACTGCCTCCTGCCATCTGCATTAGCAGGAAACTGAAGCCAGGAATTCAGACCCAGGCAATGGGCTGTGGATGTCCTAACCAGCATTTCAACTGCCAGGTCAAATGCTTTCACTCCTGACTCAGCACTGCTGAAATGCATCTTCTCATTTCAATTAGATTTAATAAAGTACATTTTTCATTTTGAAATTTTCCCAAGAGAATAGACAGATAAAATCCAGCTATGCCTTGAAAAATTCTCATGATACTTTTCATTATAAAAATAACACTGCCTTTCATATGACCTCTGAAGCATAAATCTCTCCTGGACATGTAATGATTTCAAAACTTCCATTTCCAATCCAAAGGGAGTAACAGTGCCTGACTAACTTTTTACTGTAAATAACTAGAAAATAAGGTAGAAAACAGTCAAAGCAGGACTGTAGGCTGTGTGTGACAGGTGGCAGTTAAGTGCTTATTTTTTGCCTGGTGGCACACAGAAAGGATGATTTTGCGCAGAACAGTTTGCCTTATTAGCAACTCTGGAAGAGAGAGAGTGAAGGTAAGGGAAGCAGTGGCAGCTAGAAGTTGTGCAGCAGAGTTCTCACAAGGAGAATGATATATAGATTATAAGGCTTGGAAAAACTGCATTGATGTGCACTTGAATACAGAGATGTGCGCTCACAGGGAGAGAAACCAAAGTCTCAGAGAAGTTGGAGATGTTGGGACCCAGCCAGCCATCCAAAGAGGGGGAAAAA